ATGAACTCTGATCTAGAGAGACGATGCTGGGGTTGCTGGCCACCCCATAAAGGCTTTCTCTTGAATTTTTATTGGTGGTAAATTTGGAGAAAATAAACAGGTTGGGGTGCTGTTGAATAGCCCAGGTTGTAACTAGAAGGGAGCATGGTGATGCCAGTCTCTTTCCTCTTGGCTGCAAAGCCAGCCCATACTAATCCATAATGTGCCCTAGTTAGTTTTGGCTTAGATGGTTTATAAACGGAATCTGGGTTGTGTGAATTGTGCACCACCAATCACTCCAGCAGATACAACTTCTGCTGATCTAGTACCCATTCTTGGCCTGTTGTTTCTCTGCTTGTTTATGGCACCTCTTGTTCTTTTGCAGGAAAAGAGGAACATTGCATTCATGCAGGAACTCCAGTATCTCTTTGCTTTAATGCTGGGAACACACCGCAAATTTGTAGACCCAACGACCGCCCTTGAACTTCTGAAAGGGGCATTCAGGTCTCCCGAGGAGCAACAGGTGAAGGTCTTCCCAGGTCTGGGCGGCCACTTGGCCCAGGATCACACTTGGACTATGCTGTACAGCAGTGTTTCTCAACCTGGCTGACTTTAAGATGTTTGGACTTCAACACCCAAAATTTTTCAGCCTGCAGAGATTTAATTTGAAGGCAGTTCACAACTCTAACATACAGAAACGTTATAAATTTAAAGCCATTTTAAAATTAAAAATTAAAGTCATCCAAGGTTATGTAAAAACAGCGAAGAAAACTGTTCAGGGTAAACGTCTCCACAAAGTAACGTTTGATGTTCCCTCTGTCTCCTTTTTAGCAAGATGTGAGCGAGTTCACCCACAAACTCCTGGACTGGCTTGAAGATGCTTTCCAGCTGACAGTGGATGTTGAGTGAGTCTGAAGGAGCTTCGGTGATCATTTTGTGAAGCTGCCCAATTGCCAGAATTTGCCGCGAAGAAGATTAAAAAAACCAAAACCAATGCCTGTTTGTTTTCCACTTTGTAGGGTGGTGTGATTCTCTCTGCTACAGCAAGGTGTCAGGGGGCTGGGTGGGCCTGTGGGCGAACCTGAACGATGTAAAAGTATATTTCTGACTTCAAGTAACTTGACCTGTTCCGAGCACCTGAGTTAAATTATCAGGGATCATGAGCTCCAATACAGTTGGCTTGTAACCAAATGAACTCTTAAAATTCCTGAGGTCTCAGGTTTCACACCCGGACTCACTATGACTAAGCACTGTACATTTTAGTGAATTGACACAACATCCCATCATGTATGGCTGTTTAGGACCTCCCAGGAATGGTTGAGCTCTGGCTGAATTCCTGATTGTAGCCGGCAGCTCTCTGCCTATAGGAAGCCCATATGTGGCGAGAAGGGTTCGACTCTGTTCCTCTATGAGGGCTTCTCGTGGAAATGGGGGACCCCTTGAAGGGAAAAGCATATTGCATCCTGAGCTCCCATCTGCCACCCAAGCTTGATGAAATCCAGATGAATCCCCCAAAAGCCAAACATGGGGAAAGCGCATTGCTTAGCTTCTAAACAAGTCGCCTTGGCGATTAGCCTTGTCAACCTGTTTTCTAGAAAAATGGTGAGTTTGCTTTCAGAATAACAGTTGGAAAGGACCTTGGAGGTCTCCTAGTCCAACCCCTGCTCAGGCAAGAGACCTATGCCATTTCAGACAAATGTTTGTCCAGTCTCTTGTCCAGTATTGGAGCACCCACAATATCAGGAGGCAAGTTGTTCCATCGATTAATTGTTCTGTCAGGAAATTTCTCCATAATTCTAGGTTGGGACTCTCCTTAATAAGCTTCCCTTTGTTACTTCTTGTCCTGCTCTCAGGTCCTTTGGAGAAGAGGTTGACCCCCTCTTCTTCATGGGGGCCCCTCAAATATTGAAACGCTGCTGTCGTGTCACCCCGGGTCGTCCTTTTCATGAAACTAGGCATACCCAATTCATGTTCCCTTGCTTTCTCCTTCTGTGACAGGAATTCCCGGGACAAATCGGAGAACCCCATGGTTCAACTTTTTTATGGGACTTTTCTAACTGAAGGGGTTCACGAAGGTAAGCTGGAAGACCTTGCAAATTGTCATGGAAGTCTTCTCAGCGCTGTTGCTGGCTCCTTCGGTGTTTTTCTACCACACTTAAAAAGACAATCTGTTTGGGATTCGGTTTTGTTCTCCTTAAACTGATGGGTGTCCCCCCCTCCCTTATTTAGGCAAGAGGTTTTCCAAAATCGAGACCTTTGGCCAGTATCCCCTGCAGGTTAACGGCTACAAGAATTTGCATGAATGCTTGGAAGGAGCCATGGTGGAGAAGGAGAGCGAGTCGGACCCTTCCAAGCAGACGGTGACATATACGCAAGAGGTTAGTGTTGTGGCATTTATACAACTCACAGGGAGCCAGAACAGACTTGATAGTTACCAACTTGAAAACATAGAATATGATGTACGAGTGCAGGCTGGAGTTGAGGGAATGTTGTGGAATGACTTAACGGCATGCAGTGTGTGACCTTTATATTTCATGCGTTGAGTCTTGAGTGCGAGTGTGATAAAAATATTTTTCTTTCTGTTGAAGCCTGCCTGTAGGAAAGAGCCAGTGCCTCCGTATTTTCGGGGGATAAAACTACAGTTTTTGATTTAATGGTATGCTTTTCCTGTCTATAACTTTGTCTTGTATCTGGGTATATGTGGCACTTTTTTTTTTCACTCTCCAAAAATCATCTACTGATTTTAACTTAAATCATAAAAATGATCCTTTTGCTTGCATCTGATATACTTGAAATCTGTTCAGAACTATCCTAGTTTGCTTCCTGCCGGCCGGCTGAGGAATTCTGGGAGTTGAAGTCCAGGCTTCTTTGAGTCCCCAAGGTTGAGAAACACTGGTGTAGAGAAAAGAAAAGAATTCAGGATTTGCACACTTTCTAAATCTGCCTAGGAGATGTTAACCAAAGCATTGTAGTTCAGTTTGTGGTCTGAAGACTGTATATATGGAGAATATTTAAAGCATCCAAGAAACTTCAAAGGTGCTTTTTTGAAAGGCAACTGGACAGGATCTCACCTTCCAGCCAAAACTGATGAAACTTCTTGGATGGGGAAGCAAAACAATTTCAAAGAATAAAGTAAGAAAGTCCAATTGCCTTTTGAAAAAGCACCTTTGAGGCAACCCTGACCTGGATGGCTGAGAAACTCCATAGGCATTCACCCAAGGAAGCCTTCCCATGGTCACTGTGGGAAGAAGCGTAATAATTCAGCTTTCACATGGGTATCCAGGGGAATCTGAAGGGCTCCAGCTGCCCTGGGAAACTTTGAAAATGGGTGGCTGGTTTAGTTAAAGGCACTCATTTCATTTCTTCTTCAGTGATATAAACAAGGAACTTGGGGAGGTTCTCTCCGATACACTGGAAAGAGTAAATGTTACAGCACCTTCTTAGAACAGACTAGCCACAAATAGCTTCCAAGGGGAGGTGCAGTTTTAATCACGAGGAGCCCGTCTGGCAGCAGATGAGAGGAGTCTATTAAAAGCTGGAGTTCGTGGCAGGGGTTTTTCCAATAGGGCTTGTAGAATTGCAGAGAAACTGTTCTCATCCCATGTTCAGTTTGAAATGGTTTTGTAAAAATTAGAAAATAGTATTGGGACAGGAGTTGGCTCTGGAGCACCTGTGTAGCAAGTTGCAAACGTCCCTCTCCATTTTGCAGTCCTCCAGAATGGATGAGCCTGGTGACCTTCGGCTTTTTAAATATATTTTGAGGGGTGTGGAAAGTAAGTGGGAATGGGGAGTACCAAGTTTGCCCCCTAAAACTTCCAGCTCTTCCTAAAAAGCGTCTTGGCCCATCCATTTGCAGCGTGCAATTCTAATTCAGTGTTTCTCAACCTGGGCCACTTTTAAGATGGGTGGACTTCAACACGTATATGCTGTGTTGGCTGGTGAATTCTGAGAGTTGAAGTCCACCTGTCTTAAAGTGGTCCAGGTTGAGAAACGCTGCTGCCAATCAGTTGAAGTTCTGTTCATCTGCTTCCTGATTAGCAAGTGGTTTGTGGGAGGCCTTAACTATCTTGAAAATACACTGATTTTTCACCAAAATCATACAATCAAATTTGCTGAACTCAAATAGTGATTCCTCTTTTTCTGGGTCTGACTTGAAATGGGATCCAAGTAATTGTTTTTCCTGCTTGTATATTGTTAATGAAAAAAAGGTGGTTTATAATTAGCATCCATGTATCTGAGCTTGTTGCATCTCTGTTTCAGCGCTGGTTTACAAAGCTGCCCCCAGTGCTGACCTTTGAACTTTCCCGGTTTGAGTTCAATCAATCCCTCGGGCAGCCAGAGAAGATTCACAACAAGCTAGAATTCCCGCCAGTCATTTACATGGATAGGTAAAAAAAAAAAAAAGCTTTGTGGCTTGAGACTTTCAAACCTGCAAAAAAGATATTGTGGGTTTGCGTTAAGAGAGAGCATGCAGCTGTCAAAACTATGTTTCCTTTAGGTTCATGTATGGCAATAAAGAAATTATTCAAGCTAAAAGAGAAGAGATCGGGAAACTGAAAGAACAGATGAACGTTCTACAGCAGCAGTTGGAAAAGTAGGTAGTCTCCCTCAAACTCTGAATTTTGCCTTGCGGATTAGATGAGCTGAAGCTCAGCCAGCCGGCATCTGTTTCCCACTTTCTTGTCAGGGAGAAAAACCCAGCTTTCAGCTTGTCTGTCCGTCCTTGGACAGGGGTATTGTGATGAAGCTTTTTAGAAGCCTCTACCCATGTAGATTTATTTTAGATTTTCTGGAGAGGTGCACAAGGTTGTTCTTCAGATATAGACAGCCAACCTGCCATCCCTTTCTGCAGCTGGCCAGCCCATTCTCTGTTCGGCTGCTGTACTGCAGGCCCGGAAGGAAAGGCTTCTGTCTCTTGTACCATTTGAAGAATCTGTTCGAAGAGGCCCAGGAGCAGGACAGGACTTATATCCAAAAATATCAGTCGTCAACCATGTTCAAGGGGTAAAGGAAAATAACCCTTTTATCACTGGTGTAGTTTTGAGCCCTGGTGGCGCAGTGATTAGAATGCAGTATTGCAGGCTAACTCACTGCCACCAGTTCGATCCTGATCAGCTCAAGGTTGACTCAGCCTTCCATCCTTCCCAGGTCGGTAAAATGAGGACCCAGATTGTTGGGGGCAAATATGCTGACTCTGTAAACCACTTAGAAAGGGCTGTATAACATTGTGAAGCAGTATATAAGTCTATTAAGTGCTATATTGTTATTGCTGTTTGATCCCGTTGAAAGGGAAGGCCTTGCTAAATTGAGTTAGGGAAGACTGATGATTTTGAAGTGGGTCTGATGATGGTTTGCTCCTAATTAGGTACCTGAGATACGGTTCCGGCACAGACCGCTTCCCTTTGCCGGATATGCTGCAGTCAGTTCTTGAATTTGCCAGGACCAAACTTTCCTGCGCAGCAACTATGACAACAGCAGAAACGAAGGCAGAAAAAGAATCATCGGAAACGCATAGCCAGCCAAGCAGGTAAAACTGGGCCAAGCTTGGTGTGGCTTTCCATCATTGCTGCATCTAAATTGAAACAATCAGATGATAAATCCGATTGTTTTGCCTCCTAGAAATTATGCCGGTTTGGCGGGGGGGGAGAAGTCTAGAAACTCAAAGAAAAATGCATGTAGGTCCCGATCAGCTGCATTTTTAAATCCATCCTCCTGATTTCCATCTTGTTGCCATCTCTGGCTTTTGAGTAGCGCTAGCAGCCCAGGCCGAGAGGCAGCAGCTGATTGAGCCCCTCTTTCCCTCCACCCAGGCGCCCAGGGGAGACGTCAGATGAGCCCCTTCCTCCTCGGGCCATCTCCGAAGATGAGATGAGTCTGGTCATTTCCTGCCTGCAGCAGTGGAGGGAGGAGGTTGAGCAAGACATGGAAGGTCTGTGCCCAGAGATTTCACATTCATTCAAGAGTTGCTGTTTAGCAGCTGAGATTTTCCTATTTGCATAAGGGCTGATCTCCATTCCGTTCTTACCCGAACTGGAGAAGATGGCAAGGTATTGACGCCATGTACCTGTCACAGTATTAAGTCTCTTTTTTTATGTTCATGGGATGTGATCAGGAAATCATAACTGATCTCTCTCGGAGCATTTTGCAGTTTTCATGGTCGGGACTAAGGCTGAAGTTTCCTTGGCAAAGGACAACACCTTGTCTGTCCAAAGAGGAACATCTTCAAACTCTTGAATCATCCAGGTCGCCTCTCTAGATCCAGCCATCATTCAGGGCCAACCTTTCCCTGAATATGAGCATTGCCCCAGTTTGTCTCCAGGGAGGGGAATGGGTTCTTTGCCTTGCTTTCCACAGAATGTCCTGACATGCAATTGAGGACATCTGTGATCAATCACACATCTCTTAGGTGGCCTGATTGCACAACTAGTTGAGAAGCATCTTTAGAGATTGGTAAAGCGAATCTTACCTTTTCTTTAAGAAAACATAACTGTTGCTCGCTGGCTTACTGTTTTGCTTTGATTAACAGACTTGAAGACTTCCATGCTGAGGCTTTCTGAGTCGATGGATCATGTCTATGCTGATCCTCAACTCTGCCAGGTAGGGTGTCTGCCAGTCTTCCTGGTTGTATGAGCACTTCTGACCTCGTATTGGCACCGGTTCCCCAGAAATAAAATCTTGTCATATAAGAGAGAAATTCATGGTTGAATTAATTAATACTTTCCATTTTTTCAGATAAGGTAATTTGTTCCTCCATATAAAATTAGCCTGGAGGTCTCAGACTAAATTTCCAGGATTTAATTTGGGAATACCTGGGAATTCAGACTCTATATTCTCCTACAAACAATGACTTTACCTTGTTGTTGAAAATGATTTGTTCATGTCAGTCATAGCTAAACCACAGGCACTTGCATCTGCCTGCTGGTTTTTGCCACGCATTGAAATGCAAGGTGGAACTTCTGAGTATCATACTGGCATGGTTGGTTCACTGTTGTCTTGCAAAAGAGGCTGAGCATTTTAATGGAAGAGCTGGAACCTCCTGGGTTTTTTTTGGAGAGCTCCTACCTTTTCTCTCTAGTACATGAGTCTCCAAACTTGGCAACTTCAAGACTTGTGGACTTCAGTGCCCAGAATTCCTCAGCCAGCCAAGATGAGGAATCCGAATCCTGGGAGTTGAAGTCCACAAGTCTTAAAAGTTGCCAAGTTTGGAGACCCCTGGGTTAGTACATAACAAAGAGGAGCTTGGGCGTGTTCTGGATTGTACAGTGTTTTGCTGTTCCATCCCCAGCAGGACCAAACGTCAAGGTCCTGTTAGTTGCAAGAGTTCTCTCTGGCGAATGGCTTCCACTGAGTGCCACTCGGTTGGACGTGTCATTGGTAGCTGGCCCTGGCCCTGACTGTTCTGGCCACAACGGTCTCTGCAGCCCTGCTTACCAACATCTAAAGCCTTGTTGTTCCCCCAGGAAAAGAATCTGTGCTAACCCTTGATTATATGAATGGATCATTCTTAACAGGCGCAACAGCTGAGAATTTGCCTCATCAAATCTTCCCGTGGTCATGTTACTTCACCTGCTAAAAATAAACCTGAAAACCGATGATGTTTGTGTATGTGTTTTCCAGGTCCCTTATCGCTTGCACGCTGTGTTGGTCCACGAAGGCCAGGCCAATGCTGGCCATTACTGGGCCTACATCTACGGCCTGCCTCAAAAGACCTGGCTTAAGTACAACGACATCGCCGTGACAGAATCCTCCTGGGAAGAACTGGAAAGGGATTCATTTGGCGGCTTGAAAAACGCTAGCGCCTATTGCCTCATTTATGTTAGTAAAAAACTACCACACTTTGCAGCAGGTGAGGATCTGAACTCAGTTCTTGGTGATGCCTCTTCCCTCTTGGGGGCTGGATGCCCCTGGATAAGTTAAGAAGGGCTGCTTGAGAAGAGCTTTCCTGTCCTCTGGTTAGGAGTGGACCATGGTCTCCTCTTCTGTACCTTTGTGGAGGAGATATGCATCCCTTGAAATGAATGGCCCTTGGGGAGAATCTATCTCTCCATCCTGGTTCTATGTATTTGGGATGGAAGCAGCCTCACTTTAGTTCCAAGAGGAATAAACTTAGGATTCGGTAAGCAGCCTGGGGCCAGTTGGAGACGGCAGGGGCAAACCACTTCCGAAAATGCTGCCAGGAAAACTGGGTGAATTTGTCCAGGCAATTGCCAAGAATCGAGACTGACTTGAAGGCCCAAATATACATAGAGGCAGTTCATAAATTGTTGGGTTGCGAAGGCAGGAAAGAGATGGGACCCTGTACTCTTCATTTATTAGGTCCTGTACATGCACACAAGGCACCACAAGTCCGTTCTCAACAACTGGTCTTTGATGCTGGAGACCGTATATAACCATCATGACCGCCAGTAGCAACTTGTGGCCCCAGCATCCCAATATAAGAGCAAAGGGCAGGTTGCAAACTACGAAAGTTAACCACGTGTCTTGCTTGAGGACCCTCTGCTTATCTTTCTTTGGTAGTTTATGATGATGGGCAACCAGAGAGAGAAGTAGAAGTGCTGCCTCTGGAACTTCAGCGTTACATCGAAGAAGACAACTGGAGGGTAGAACAGGAGATGGCTGAACTGGAAGAACAGTCCTGCAAAATGGCCCAGATAGAGCAATCCTCGTCCCCTGTGGAGTCCCAGAACCTGTCTTCTGACTCAAGCCAAGGTGAGAAAAAGGCCCACTCCGTTCAGAAACCCTACCAGCAAACAGGGAGTGAAATTGCAGGCCAGGAAATGATTGTCACACAAAAAAGCATAAAGAGCTTTGATCAGGCTAAGAGAAACACATTTGTGGGCCTGTGAGCAGAGAAGAGCACAAGATATTGTTCCATCTGTTTTGGGCGGTTCCCTCAAATGTACTAGAACTGCCTTCTTGTGTTGCAAGCTTACCTGTGTCTGTGGTTGCAGCAAGAGAATAAACACTAAGGGTTCTAAAGCCCACGAAGGTTGTGGCCCTGGTTCCAGAAGGAGACCCCCCTTGGATCAGAAGGTTCTCATTGACTCTATATGGGTAAAACGGAGGTGACCAAAACGTGTGTGATCCTTGCAGTGAGTCCTAGCTGGGGCAGGCTCCTAAATTTACATTTCCCCCTGAATCTTCCCTACGCTAAATGTGGGTGCTGTTTAGTAGCTCCTTTTTTTCTGGAAGTCTTCTGGAGACTACCCCAGTCTTTCAAAATACCAGCATCCTTTAGCTGCAGATTTGGATCCTGCCAACCTCAACAGCTCCCCGTAATATCTTTGGGAAGCATAAAACCTGGAAAATTCCTCTCCGCTCTTTCTCCTTCCAGAACACTCCTTCCCCTGCGAGGGTGGGCCGCATTCGCTCTCCTCTGAGCACGCCGTGATGGCTAAGGAGCAGACTGCCCAAGCCATCGCCAAGACGGCCGATGTCTACGAGAAGGATGGCATCCCGGCCGCTCTGGACCAGGTGAGAGTCCTCATCGGTGGTCCTCTTCCTGCCTGTCCTGCTGAGCCTCTTGCCCTCCTTGGGCCTCTGTTGCTGCTCCTCTTGCCTTCCTCTCACTCCCTTCTCCTCCTCCTCCTCCTCCTCTCTCACCCCCCCCCCGGTGCTGCCGCAGCCCAAGGAGGCAGATCCAGAGAAGGCCCCCTCAGAGGAAGGCAGCCCCACGGCGCAGGCAGAAGAGCCCCAGGAAGCGGAGCGGATGGAGCCTTCTGCCCCACCCAGCTCTCAAGTCTCGGAGGTGGAGATCCCCAGTGTGGGGAAGATCCTCGTTAGGTCAGATGCGGACGGCTATAACGAGGAGGTACCTTCTCTGCCCGGGCAGCCCTGGGAGTAGAGAGCTCGGGTGGCCTGATTGGGAACTGGGGAAACTGGATGAGTCGCCCCTGCCTTCCAGAGCCTCACAGGGTTTATGTGCAAGAAACTGCCCGACCACTGGCCCCAAGAGCTGTTCTGGTCCTGATGGCCTCCTTCCCAAAATGGAAAACCCCAGCCACACTTTGAAACTTCCTCTGCTGTCCCATGCAGTTTTATTGATGGCTGGCTATCAATATACAACTGAGCTAATATCATGCAGCATATCCGGGTCTGCCTGTAAAATGTGATTGTGCTGTAAGGAAAGGCTACGTGGCTCCTTATTTTATCGCTTTTGGTTATCTGTGTGGTCCGTAGTGCTCTCTGAGCTTGGTTGGGATCTTGCATTATATTTCATGACCCAGCTAGGTAACGTCATCAGTAGTAGAAGAAGTGCAACCCCACTCCCTTTTAGCAGTGATGATGTTACCTAGTTGGTCATGAAATTTCTGCAAGATCACAACCAAGCTCGGAGAGTACCAAGGACCCCACATTTCAATCCTGAGCTATAGAGATTGTCTTCTGTCAGTTGCCTTCCAAGGATCTGGATATGGGGACCCACCCAAACAATATCCTCCCTAAGCTGAACTTGGCTCTTTTGCTTGTGGGATAATGGAGAGCTTGTTTCAATCCAGCCTCTTTCCTCCCTCCTGTCTCTCTCTCTCTCTCTCTCTCTCTCTCTCTCTCTCTCTCTCTCTCTCTCTCTCTCTCTCTCTCTCTCTCTCTCTCTCTCTCTCTCTGTCTCTCTCTCTCTCTGTCTCTCTTTCTTTCTTTCTTTCTTTCTTTCTTTCTCCGTGGCAGGTGATGCTTAGTCCCGCCATGCAAGGGGTGATCCTGGCCATTGCTAAAGCTCGTCAGACCTTTGATCGCGATGGGTCTGAAGCAGGGCTAGTCAAGGTAGTACTTTACACCTAAGCGCACATGTCTGTTTTTTTCTGTCCACAAGGTGTCTTCTCTGGGTCAGGGGCCTGTCTGCCTTGCTTCCCTTTTTTGTCTTGGAATGGGATGGGATGTAGAAGCAGGTGGTGGCCAGGTGGCCAGCTGGATGCCAGGTTCTGCAGGAGTGGTGCTTTTGTCCTTTGGGGGGAGAGTTTTAGGTTTAATATGGCGTTGATCCAGTAGAGAAGAAGCGACTTATTAAAAGAAATGGAAGCCAGAGGTGATTACTTGCTTTGCCTACTAATGCAGTGTATCTGTTTGATATCTGAGCCCATTTCGTATTTATAAAAAATTCTAACTAGGAAAGGTTCATCTTCCGGGCTGAAATTCCAAAAATCTGGAAGCCTTCTTGATTCAAAGCAGAAAGTAGGAGTTATCCAACTCCTTTGTGGAAATCCTTTCCACAGTTAGAAAAAATAAATCTTCAAGATAAACTTCATGAATTGTTTATTCATCTGTCCAAGATCACATACACCTTAAGGTGCCCATTAGCATCTGAAGTGACCATTGTGTTTTACAACTGTAGGAATTCTAGACACTTAGAATACATCTGTGCTATACAAGCAGCCTTTTCTGATCAACACTGAAGAGCAATAAAATAGGAAAACACCAAAAAATAAACAGTGAGCTAAAAAAAGCTATTGTAGACTATCATAAAGGGTAATCACTTCATCTTTATGACTGGAACTGATTACCTGTTCAGGATGTTTGCTCATGCTACTAACTTAGAGATTCCTGTGCTTTCTCTGGCGCATCCAGCAGGTTCCTGTAGATTCCTGTCGCATATCAGGGACAAAAAAAATCTCCTTCCCCTTGAAATCAGCTGCAACACAAAGGAAGAATCTGTGTTGTGGATTCATAATGAGCCAGAATGATAACGTTTCGACCACCAACTTCCCCAGGCATTCCGTGAAGAATACTCCAGACTCTACTCATTGTCAAGAGAGACCCCAACGCCCCAGAGTGACCCCCGCCTTCAGCATGTCTTAGTTTACTTGCTGCAGAACAGCGCCCCCAAGCAGGTGGTGGAACGGACCCTCCTGGAGCAGTTTGCAGACAGAAACCTCAGCTACGATGAAAGGTTGGTCCAAAGCCGGCGGAGAGGGACGCGATACCAAAAGAAGAAGTGATTTGTAGCCCACAGTTGAACTTTGGAGTCCTTGATGCTCTCTGAGCTTGGCGGTTTGCTTGCAGAGGTTTCATTAGGGTTGGGACAAGCATGAGACATAAAGGAACCATCATCAGGTTCCAGGCATTGGAATTGCTGGAAAACCACATCCTCAGTTTTGATGGAAGCAAATTAAATTTAAATATTTGTCTGGATGCCACCACCTGGATTCCCATTGTTCCTTCTCTCTGTTCTGGGAAACAGGTCAATTAGCATTATGAAGGTGGCACGAGAAAAGCTGAAAGGAATTGGCCCAGATGAGGTGGACATGGAAGAGTACAAGGTAAGAAGCCCTGGCTTTCAAACCAGACACACAGATACAGAGCATTTGTGAAAAGCAGGCTGGCTCCCGATTCTCTGTCACAGCCTGCTCTGTTGAAATAGCACTTGTGCAGTGCTGCTTTGGGGAGGCTGAGCGGGTCCAGTAGCTCACCTTTAGCCACACGATGCCCCTAAATGGAATAACTGACCTCAGATGTGGCTTGGCATCACCTGGGGAGGCCGGAGACCGCCTGGGGCTGCAAGCAAGCCACGGCAGGGCAGAAGCACCAAGAAGGGAGGGGAGGAAGTTGAACGTAACCACCGCCAGGCTTGTGTTTTCTGTTTCCGGGCAGAAATGGCACGAAGACTACAGCTTGTTCCGCAAGGTGTCCGTTTATCTCTTGACCGGGTTGGAGCTGTATCAGAAGAACCAGTAAGTTCCTCAGCTGAGATTTTAGGGGCGGCTCAAGACTTCGGGCCTGTTGAGTTGATGTTTCGACAGACGCACCGTGTAAGGTTGTCAATGTGTTGTGCGTGGTCCCCACATGTCTTGAGTTATTTGCAAGTGGGCAGAGTTGGGTTTGGGCCGCTCTGCCTCTGTTTTATGCACTTAGCTGAATTGTTGTGCGGTTTTGTACAATATGAGGAGAAACTACTCAATTTTAATAAGCAATAATAAAAGTTCTGTTTTGTCCAGAAAGCTGAATCTGTGTGACTCCAAACACCTTGAGCATTCTCATGAAAGATTTGTTGGGAACAGAGGCAGGCTGTTCAAATTCCTCCTGCACTTGTGAAGTTGCTGGTACTCCTACCTTCTGCTACTCCTAACTGGATCAAAACAATGATGTATTTCTGGTGATTTTAAGTTCAGAAAGACATTCTAAAACTTCTTTACTTCACTTCAACTCCCCTTGATAAAGCCTTTTACCTCTAGAACAGAGGTCCCTAACCTTTTGGGCACCAGGGACCATTCACATGGAGAGAGGTTTTTCCATGGACCGGAGAGTGCATGGTTTTGTATGCTGCCTGCATCCGGCGGATGGGGCTTTGCTTGTCTGTGCAGACCGGTTGCTGGCATGCCGCAGCCCGGTACTGGTCCACAGACCAGGTGTTGGGGACCCCTGCTCTAGAATAAACCAAATAAAAATGATGGTCCGAGGGTGGAGCCGTTGTGGGCTGTCTGACACCGGGTATGTTTGTATCCATCCATCACAGTGGCTGGACGTGAGGCACATACCCACCCTTTTTTCTTGCCCTCTTCAGGTACTGCGAGGCTCTGACCTATCTGGTGTACGCCTACGAGACCAACTCCGTCCTGCAGGCCAAAGGGCCCAGCCGGGGCGCGGACTCCGCCCTGATCGCTCTTTACAGAAGGAAGTGCCTCTTGGTGGGTATTCAGGGGACCCCTCCCCTCCTTCCCCCTCTGTGGAGCCTGTGGATCGGAGGCAGAGTGTTCACATCATTCCTCTCGCTGTCGTCCGGGTTTAGGTTGAAAATGGGATATTGCCAAATGCTCCTTACAGGCAGTCCCCGACTTACAACAGTTCATTTAATGACCGTTCAAAGTTACAACAGCATTGAAAAAAGGGACTTATGACCATTTTTCACACTTATGACATTGCAGCATCCCCGCAGTCACGTGATTTACATTCGGAAACTTGAAAACTGACTCACATTTATGACAGCTGCAGTGTCACGTGTTCCCCTGTTGTGACCTTTTGACTAGCAAAGTCAAGGGGGAAGCCAGATTCACTTAACAACCATGCTACTCATTTAAGAACCACAGTGATTCACTTAACAAATGTGGCCAGAAAAGTCATTAAATGGGGCAAAAGTCACTTAACAAATTTCTCGATTAATAACATAAATTTGGGGGTCAATTGTGGTCATAAGCTGAGGACTGCCTGCCTTTTCAAAAGATCGTATCAGGTGCCTGCAAATGGTTATCCTTCCAACCTGCCCCTCTTAATTTAGAAGTTGTTTAAAATTTGGAAGCATACACCAGCTAGACCAGTTTACCTTTGGGGTAATTCTTTTGGCTATTTCCTTTTTTTTTTTTTCAGCCCTCCCTGGCAGATTCTGTATGCAACAGGTTCTCTTGATGGCTGGACTTCAACTCCCAGAACTCCCCAGTCATCTTCAAGTGGCCACATTTGACAAACACTGCACCAACTCAGCCTTACTGACCTTAAGAGGCGTGGCTGACTGGGGAATTCTGGGAGTTGACCTCCGGCCATCTTCAAGTGGCCAAGCTTGAGAAACTCTGCTTTCTAGAAAAGGAACAGCTGGGCAAAATACCCATGCTCAGTTGTTTTAAAACGCGCTGTCTGAATGCTGGGACGGGCCTCTCTGAGATCTTTACCAACCGACTCCTGACCCTGCTTTGCTGCAGAGGCTGAACGACGCCGCAGCTGCCCTCTTTGAAAGCAGCAATGGGAAGGAAGTGGACGAGGGGGTGAGCGTCTTGAACGAGCTGATCATCCCCTGCATGCACCTTATCATGAACAACCATGTCTCCAGAGACGACCTGGATGCCATTGAGGTCATGAGGAACCGCTGGTGCGCCTACCTGGGAAAGGACGTGGGTGGTAAGAAAAGTGTCCTGGGCACGACGCCAACTTTCTTCTACCTACTTTAGTTGCCTCTCTGTGTTCTATTTGTTGGTACTTGTAAGAAAACATCTGCATATTGATGCAGCTTGACTTTATCTATTGGGCTCTCTTCTTCTTCTTCTTCTTCTTCTTGCGCCATATCTGTTATCGGACGTTGGCGATCCTGAAATACAAGTAAAAATAAAGATAGTAGGACAATGGGGAAGGGGGAGCGGAGAGTGCGAAGTGTCAGTTGAAAACAACAGAAAAGCATTAAACTTCCAATTTTTTTCAGTGAAGTAGAATAAAGGTAATAATATTTCAGCCTCAACTTTTTAGTTTTGCATACTTGGAATACACTAGCCATTTCTATCGCAACAAACTTACCTAATCAGCAAATCAGGATTGCATTTTTTTTTCCTGTCAGAAGCACAACATCTAGAAGCAGTTTCCAAGCAGAGATAAAATTGGATTTTCTTTCATAAAAGGAGTTAATTTAGCCATCTCTGCTAGCTCTATCAACGCTGCAAAGGTGGCGAAGATGATGGAAGATTGGATTTCCCTCTGGAGAGCCACTTTAGTCATGTTACATTCTGTGTTGTTGATAGTCCTGGATATATTCAAATCACAGACCTGGAATTCTCTGTGACTTTTAAGAGGATAAGCTTGTCAACTGATGGTTACTCCAGTGCAAGCAAGTTTCAGCGGCTTCCTCTATTGAGGGAGGGGGCATGCCTGAGCTTGCTTCTTGGTGAGGAGTTGCAGCAAGCATTCTCTGTGGCCTGAAGTGGTTAGGTGCACATTTGTGCACCCAGGATAGTACTTGTTACTCCATTTTCATGGCAGCAGGCTGAGCCTGGTGATCCAGTTGCTCGGCTGAGCCAGGAAAAGTGCAGCCCGTCAAGTTTTCTCACAGAAAACTTGAGACAAGAAATCGTACAGCTGGAAGGCAGGTGGCTCTGCAGAGGAAAGGCTTATTCTTGGGAAACAGAAACAGCTAAAGAAAATACGGTCATCTGGAACCTTAAGCTGCTGTATTTTTTATTTAGGTAGAAATTTCTATAGCTGCCCAACCCACTGAATGCAACTCTGGGTAACCTACAACCAACCACCACTAAAACAATACAACAAGCATTAAAACAATTAAGCATAAAGAAAACCAAGATTGTGGGGGAATAAAAACCGCCCAAAGACAAAACAGCCATTTCACAAGCTCCCCCTCTCGGGGGGTCTCTGGGGTTCCTGGCAGGGATGGGGCTAACCTCCCCTTGGGGTGTTCCAGAGGGCAAAAACCGCAGCTGAAACCCCCCCCCCTTCCAGGTTCCTCTAGGTCATGGGTGTCAAACTCGCCACGTCATGTGACGTGTCGTGACATATCACGACTTTTTGCATGGGGTGGGTGCGGCTTCAGTATGATGAAACTGGCCCGCGGGCTGGCAGTTTGACAGCCGTGCTCTAGGTGAAACTCTTTGGCAGGCCTGCCACATGCCTCTCCTGCTGGACCTGAGGGACGGGCAGAGGTATCTCCTCCATCTTATGGAGCTACTGAGAAGCTACTTCAAAGGAGCCAGCTTGCTGGTTTTCCATAATGTTCTCTTTCTTCCCCTGCAGAGAAGCTGCAAATGAAGCTGGGTGAATTTCTGCCCCGCCTGCTGGATTGTTCTCCGGAAGGAGTGGTTCTGAAGGAGCCCCCCAAGATCCGCCCCAACTCGCCCTACGATCTCTGCAGCCGGTTCGCAGCTGTTATGGAGTCCATTCACAGGGCCTCGGCGGTGGCCGTGAAATAAGGCAGCGAGCCCTCTCGGCTTAAACCCTGGAGGCCCCTGAGCCCCCCAGGAGTGGAATCTGGGGGGGCAGACAACTCTGGGAAGGCTCCTCGAGGAGAGGGACTGTGCTGAGAGACTCCACTGTCAGCCTGAACAGCGATGCGGTGCATGTCTAGGGAAGAGCTGGCAGGTGTGGGGCTCTTGGACATGCACCAGTTGCATGCAGGCATGGGTTTTGGAACGCCCAATGAGGTTCCCCGTTAATGATTGACTTTAGTTCCTGCAAGGAGCTTGGGAGCGTTTTTGGAAGAACTCTGCCACTTTAAACTAAGCGTTGTATATAGACAATTCCATCTTGCCGAGTTGGTGCTTTATCTGGCCAGTGGTTTAAGGTGCTTCTTGAGAGCATTCTGTTGTGTGGACCCCTTTAACTTTAAAGGCACCTGCCTGCCACCCGTGCTGGTCTCCCGTGTGTTGATTTGGCACTGCTGGGCTCCATGAACGGATCAGCCCACGGCAGTGCAACTGATTGTGAGGAGGACTGCGTGGAATACTGGCGAGGGGCCCTTGACCCTCGCTGACTTTCAAGCATAGCAAGTTCAGGCATAAGTCATCGCCAGGAGGTTAAATAGCACGTGGGGCAGTTTTGGTAAAGGAACTTTAATTGTAAACCAGGTTTACTTGCAGTGACACAATACATGTGTTAGCAGTCCATCTGCTCTCTTAGGCAGCCATTCTTATGGGTGAACCACTTGGCATGCAGATGCTGCCCTGGCTGCTGGTTTAGGAACTGGCATTTGTGCCAGGGGAGGAAGAGGAGGAGGAGGAGGACAGTAATGCAGAACCAGCAGAAGGGAGAGATCGGAAGCAGCTTCCTTGAACCTTCCCCCAAATAATTTCTTGAATGTCAATCACCGAAGTTTAATTACTAGGGTAGTATTGGCAAAGTACGCACTGAAGTCAGGATAAAACCAAGTTGAATAAGTCACACTTTTAATGGTTATATTTTTCCTCAAGATCTTTTAAAGCAACCTGTTTTTATTAGAATGCTAACAAATTGAGATGAAAATACAAATCTGATGAGATTTCTGGTTTCAAAGTGCAATAAATATTACCCTAAAGATATTTGTAGTTTTTTCTATCCCTGAAAAATACAGTGTCGTCTTCTCTTAACTTTCAGCAATAATTTTGAAGCCTTAAGGCCTGCCCCTTGCAGTTATTTCACACACAAAACCCAACAACCTCTTAATTTCCTTAGATTTGGGGAATAAATAAATTGCTTCATCACCTCTGGCTGTAATCCTCAAAGAAGTTGACTGGGTGCCAGTGCATGCCTCTGATTGCAGAAGGTTGAATCTAGAACTGTTTTGAAGTTGAAAAATCTTCCTACATGACCTTTCTGTAGAAAATGGTGGTGCAACAATCCAGCTGTTGTGTCTCCTGTTGATGACAGGTTGCCTTAAGAAGGCATCAAATTCGAAAGGAAAGTTCACTGAACAAAACAAGGCTCGCTCCTGAATTCATCCCTGGAAGCTCCCCTAATGCCTTGGTTTATGGACTGCTTCCTTCTACCCCCTTCTGAAACAATTATCAGGGTATCCCAAAGTCTCCACTCAAGATTACTGATCTGTCTCTTATGCAAAGTAAAAGAGTTCCAATTTCTTGTAAGCCCTTAATTGCTTTTTTAAAGCCTAACAATGCTTGTTGAATGGACCTTTATTTTGCAGACATTCTATCCTCCTTGACCAACATTCCTTCCATCAGTAAACGGAATGTTTTTAACCTCATTCTTCTCCAAAAGATTACATGTGGGGGCAGGGAGGAGAAGAAAGCATTTTTCTTCTACATCAGAGCAGATACAGGCTCAAGTACCCTCAAACAGTACATACTCAATACATTCCTTATTTGCAATTATGGACAAAAAGCTACACGACACAATAGAATGCTAGGTTGTCCCCTTGTCAATGTGATTTCCCAAGCCATCCTTTCCAGAAATCTAAACCACAACTCTTTAATATTCCACACGTTGATACATCATCCCATTCCAGGTGAGATCTAGACGCTCAGGAAGGTGCATCAGATGACAAGGTCTGCATTTTTAGGTGATGAGAGTGGGTGCCGGATGGCGAGTGTGGCTATCTCCGCTTTATGGTGGATGGCCGGCCTCTTAGATGCCTCCGGGGTCTTTAGGAAACAGGCAGCACTGATTACAAGGCAGCCACCTAACAGGAGGAAAAATGCAGCAAACCAGCCCAGGAAAAGCGCTTCGCCAAATTCCCACCTCGGGACAACATTTGGTATGGTTTGATCCCAAAAGTCTTGCACCGTGTTGTAGGCAACCCAGGAGATGGGAACAAGAGTTGTTATTCCAGAGATACAGAAGAGAATCCCGCCTGTAATCCCAAACTGTCTTTTCTGTCTTGGGTCACTTGTCTTCAGGCAGTTTGATCCCAAAAGGGCCAAGGAGAATGCGAGGAAGCCCAGTCCGTTGGAAGTAACCATAAGCACCCTGGAAATCTTGATCTCCAAAGGCAGGGCCAGAAGAGAAGCGTAGTCCTCACACTGCGTGACTGCCTGACTGACACAGGTCTGCCAAAGTCCCATGTTCCAGACTTCAAGGTCATTTAATTCCAAGTTGAGGCTCTTCCAGAGAGGCACGTAAGTCGTAACACATGACAAGACCCAACCAAAGAGGGAGACAATTAGTCCACTCAGCTGAACGGTGGTGCTCTGGTGCCAGTTCATATCTTGGCTGTTGGGTACCTCTTCTTAAGCTGACCTTTCAGCTCTTTGTCCAAAGCTTGGATGAAAATGTTCCTGCAGCATTTTATGCTGTCAGGAACCTGCTATAATTGGCTGTAAGGCCAGAATAGATCTGTTGTGGTGCCAATACTTTTCTTTCTTAAGAACAGAATAGGTGGAGAAACTGAATCTGATAGCATTAATTCTTGGGTGTGGCCACAAGTCTTTTTTCATACCTGGTTGGCCTTATTTGTTTCTTAAAAAAAAACAAAAACCTCTGCTTCCTGGTTTAAAAAACTTCCAAGTCCCAAAAGCAGAAATCTCACTGTTCGTTGAACTCCAGAAACCTACCTTCCAATCCCCTTCAAGCACAAGATGTGTTGCATTCAGCAAGCTAAACAAACAAAGCCATCCGAAGATGATACCGAAGGACTAAAATCCTGGATCTCACTTCCTGGATGGTGTAACAAATAATGAGTTTCATGGGTTACAAGCTATGTCCCCAGTTCATAAATGTCAATAAACCTGCACTTCCAAAGCTTACATAAAGGAATGTAAGCTGGTTGTGTTGCAAAAAAAAAGAAGAGAGAGAATGGACTTCACACAGACTGCTTCCCCGTGTTGCCTTCTATAAGCCAACACACAAACAAGGTCTACCTTCAAAGGATTTTCCTTGTTATTGCAGGATTACTGTCTCTTTCCTACTCCTCTTTCTTCTGTTACAAAATAAGATGCTGTTGCCGCTGCTAATGTATTTCCTCTTCCAGGAGTTTGACCTTTAGATTGGAAGGAATTCTGGTACTTGTTCAAGGCTAACATCGGTTATAAATAAGTAAGTAGAAAAGAAAACCTCACCTTTCAGTTTTTTAAAAGAAAAAGAATTCCTATGACCTTTTCTTGAAAAACCAACCACCGTATCTTCTCTTCTTTTAGGCACAAAATAAAACCTGCACCCTCCACAGCTGATCTCTCTTGAAAGATGATTCAGGGAGAAATTCCATGCTTTTCTCACAGCAAAAAGCCACTTGAGAGACGCTTTTTCCAGTTACCGGAAACCATAACACTGCGATTGATGATGGCGACGCAAAGAAGTTATCTTGAATGTGTTGCTGGAAGGAATAGTTGGCTCCTATGGGATTCCTGGCTGCTTCTGTTGAGGAAAAAGGCTCCCAGGTCCAGTTTATAATGTAAGGTGAGTGCTTATTTGAGCTTTTGAGCAAGGAGTTAGTCCCTGTTTTTCTCTCTCTGGGTGTGCCTGACCCGGTCTTTCCATATTCAGCACAGGTAATTATACTTCTAGCAATTAGCATCCATTCAGCAGGAGAACAAACATACCTTCATTATCTGCTTCCTCTTAACCAAACCAGTTTACCCCTCGCTGCTAATCTTTGTTGTCAAGACTAAATCCCACATTTTTTTCCATGAAAAATGTAGAAGGTGCAAGGTCAGAGTGGCCGTTTCTTACAACTTGCAACTGTTTCTCAAATAGGGACAACATTTTCAGATCAAAGGACCAGTGATAGGAACAAAGGATGTACAGTCCTCGATTAGCAACAGTTCATTTAGTGACCATTCAAAGTTACAAGGGCACTGAAAAAAGTGACTTATGACTGTTTTTCACACTTACAACCGTTGCAGCATCCCCCGGGTCACGTGATCCAAATTCGGATGCTTGGCAGCTGACTTGTATTTATGACGGTCGCAGCGTCCCGGGGTCATGTGATCCCCTTTTATGAGATTCTGACAAGCAAAGTCAATGGGGAAGCCAGATTCACTTAACAACCTATCACTAACTTAACAAGTGCAGTGATTCACTTAGCGACTGTGGCAAGAAAGGTTGTAACATGGGGCAAAATTCGCTTAACAAATGTTTCGCTTAGCAACAAAGGTTTTGGGTTCAATTGTGGTCATAAGTCAAGGACTACTTGTACAGCATAGTTAACATATTCCAGTATTTTATTTCCCATTGACAATGTCTTTTCTCATTGCTTTTTTTTCCTTTTGTGCAGTGATTTCTTCTTTCATTGTTTTAAAACAAATTAAAGCAAAACCCAATTTGTATCCAGCTCCCTTTACATACTGGTTAGTCGCTTGAAAAGCACAATAACAACAGCAACAGGACAATTAATGTTACTCCAACAGTTAAAGAGTCTCAGTCAGATCCCAGGCCCTGAAATGCAACGTTGACCTAGGCAGGTGATGCCAGCACAGCTCCCTGGCTCACTTGAGCCGGAGACAGCTCAAACACGAGTGCAGAAACCTGAACGGTATAAGAATTCACGGAACCAAAGGGAGAGGCTGGCATCTTTCAGGACATATTGTGACAATGCAAAAAGAAAAATAAATTTCAGGTCAACTCAACCAGTTGTCCCAAAACCTGGGTCCAAAATTCAGGAGTGGCAGAACAAGTGGATGATGAAATCCAACAGGGCACAGGATGGCTTGTGCAAAGAGGAAAACACAGCACTGTTAGTAGCACTAGATCTTGAGGAATGAACAGAGCAGGCAGCTTGAATCATACCCAGAGCGGACCCATATATAAATCAACTAGAATTGAATTAACCCTTGAATCCCATTGATTTCATTGAGTCTACTCCAAGAAAAGCCAATAGTGGTTCAAATCCATTCATCCTAGTCTGTCTGAGAGTTCATGGATCTTAATGACTGCCTCTAAGGGTAGCCTTACAGGAAAATACAACTATCCATACCTCCAAGTATTAGCAATGAACTCTTGATGAAGCAAACTTGGCTTAATGATTCAACCTGGAGTTCTGTCTATAGGACCGACTTGACAATGTTAAAATGCCTGGACTTCAACTCCCAGCATACTGGCTGGGAAATTCTGTGAGTTGAAGTCCAGGCACTGGAAAGCTGTTAAGGTTGAGACATACTGATACTGGACTTACAAGGGCCCTTTCCCAGAAATAAGGTATGATGCAACTTGGAGTGCCTTGAATGGAGGTTAAGATTGCAGCAAAGGCCACTTGCCACTTCTTCTCTTAGAGCACCGTCAAAGTAATTAAGATTTCCTGTATGTATTAATAAACCTTGAGCCGTTTACAACAGGGGCTCAACAGCTATTTATAACCAGTGGGTTAACCACTGCTATTTCGAGGCTTCCCCAGGAAGGTTTGACTACAGCTTGGTGGCTTTCTCCTCCCTGGCGCCTGGATTTAGAACAGTGGTTGGCCGTGACTTCATAACGTCTTTACCTTTCTTTCCCCCCCCCCTTCACCAGATGCAAAGTGGTTTCTGATATCCGTTAAATGCAGGTTCCACATAGCAGCAAACGTCCTTGTTTCTTGCAATTTGAAGCTTGGACTAGTGTTTATTTCAGGAGCCAGAATTTGGTGTGGTAGCAACCAGAAATGCATACCTCCCAGGTGGAAAAAGAGGGAGGGCAGCTGTTCTGGACAAGGAAAGCCCAACTCAAACTGGGAAATCCCTTCAGGAGGGATTGTAAAGTTGCACCCTTGAGTTGATTCCTGTTTTAAAGAGGAAGCTCAGGGTTCAAGCTGTGGCTTAGGTCAGGAGGGGCTGCTGAGAGTCTCCACGGGTCTTGCCAGACTTCAACTCCAAAGGTTGAGCACTCTGTTTCTTCCTGTGCAGGTTCCTTCAGTCAGATATTAGTAGAGCATCCAAGTCCCCATTCTGCCTCATCTAGACGTGCCAAGGTGCCTCTTCATTTTTTATCAACATGTTTCATTGCAAAAATGGACCATGTCACATCAGCCAAGGTTTTGCTGCAACACTATTGGCTTGCCCCCTTACTAGACTGGACAGGATTTAATATTAAAGCCTTTAGCACCATCTCCAATTGCAAGAAAGCTCCAGGGCAAAATACTGGTCCTTAGAGACTGAATATGCATGGGGCAGAAGGCATTTTGCTGACTCCCTCCCCTGACCCATAAGTTGCTCAAATGCATTGCCTAAGCCCTTCCTGTAGGACTGGGCTGAGGTGTGGCAATAGGGCGCCCGGACCATCTCAGTCTCAGGATCCAGAGGCTCCTGCTGAAGGGACAGGTGGAAAGAGAAAAGAAAAAATGGACCTTGCAAGGCTGACAAAATGCCGATCTCGCCTGGCATGGTGACTTCTTAGAAAAATACTGCTCCATTTCATATCTGGGCAAGCAAAGGAATCTTTAGAACAAGGTTTCTCAACCTCAGCCAACTTTACGAGGGGTAGACTTCAACTCCCACTGTGGAAGTCCACACTTCTTAAAGTTACTGAGGTTGAAAAACACCGCTCCAGAATCTTCTCCACTTTCCATATTAATTTCAACAGAGTCAAGGCTTCGTTTTATTCCTGGTGGATCCTCTTAACCCTTCTGAGGACGGGTTCCTTCTTGTGAAGTATCCGTGTAGGACCAGGGACTATTCCTAGAGGGTTGAGGTTCTGAAGCTGGTGAAATTGGGGAGCAAGATGGTGATTCTTTTCCCCATGTTCAGAGATGTGTTTAATTTGCTCGTTTTAAGAATTTAGCAGGAAAAATTGCCCAAGCAAGGACAATTGCGAGACCTTTGCAAAGCGCAACCGTGTTCCTACCTGGATGCTGGCTTGGGATCTGGCCAGGTTGCTTTTCAATCCACTTTACCTAAAGCCTGCAAGAGGGAAAGAAGTTGTGAAATGGTCCTGGATGAGAAATTAAGTCACGGGGAGCCTCACGGGGAGCCTCAGCCTGCTGTGTCTTTTGCCAAAGTTTTCACCACATCATGGTTTTGTCATTCAAACGTTCTACCTGGAACTCCTTGTGGGGATTAGGCTGAAGCGTTTCGGTTAACTGGTTTTTCTTCTCCCTAGCCTTGCCTGGGTGTGCAGCTCCTTAAATTCCTTTATAGGCAGGTGTAGGGGAAAAGTAGACTTTAATCTCTCCACAGGTTAGGAGTTTTTCAGGAATTTTCCAGGTGGAGAAGATAAAACTAAGGTTGAATTTCAATTTTCTTCTTGAGCTTTCCTCTTTTTTTATTTTATTCCCGGTATTTCCTTTCCTGTATGCAGTCATTCTCACTTGGCATTTTCTGTGTCCCACAGACGTCAACGTCTCTTGCAAAGCCTGGGAAAATGGGGGCAAAAGTGAGCAGAAGTGGGTTCTTCTCCCCATGGACCTTTCTTCCCAGGACAGAAGTGCTGGCAGATTAACCCTGTGGACACTCTAGTCTCCCACCCAGCAGTCCCCCTCCTCCTCCTCCTCCTCCTCCTCCTCCTCACCCGCGTCCCTCTGATTAAATCATCTTGAGATAATTCTGCATGTCATTGAAGCAGATTAACTGATGACCTTCTCCTTGCAAGGCTGAATTGAAAGGCGGTTTTCTGGCTCTCTTCCTCACTTCTGTGAATGTTGAAGGCTCTGAATGGGAGAAAGAGAAGGTTTACCCTTCCAGGATGGATGGAAATCTTTCAGGCAGAGGGATGTGTCTTAAGTTGACACCCTGGTCTTGAGCCCAACCGGACGGCCCTGGAGTCTCAAAGAAAGACCAGCAGGGCAGATTCTGCAGAACAAGAGGCCTCCCGGTAACTTTGGAGCTGCCTGGCCTGGCCCTCAAATCACATCCTGCAGGAAAGATGAGGTAGGTGCACCATACAACACCAGCCATGTCCAGGATAGAACGTAGAAACCGAAGGGGCTGCTTGCCGTGTAAATTAATATATATGACCTTGCTTCCTGATTCCTTTCAGTTTAGAGGTTGATTCAGCCTTCTGTCCTTCCGAGGTCAATAAAATGAGGACCCAGATTGTTGGGGACAAGAGATTGACTCTGTAAACCGCTTAGAGGGGGATGTAAAGCATTGTGAAGCGGTATATAAGTCTAAGTGCTATTGCTATTAGAACAGTTTGAGCTAAAGATATCTCTTTGGATCCTTCTTCCAGTCTGGGGTTCCCCTGGCAATTCCTTGTATTCCTTTAGTTGCTTTAGTTAGGGAGAGGATCTCCACCTCTTCCCCATTTATTTCCTTGGTGTCGCTGCTATTTTGGTTAACTCAAAGAATTCTGTCTCTGGCAAAAGACAGTTATTTGTTGGTTTGGGATACCTCTGGAAGCAGAGCTTTGACTCCACTTCGGTTGCCTCCTCCTAGCCCAAAATGGCCGTTCCTGTCATTGTCCTCCACGTTCGTCCATGATGCCCTTGAGGAATCTTCTGAAACTTCAGCTGGTGTAAAATACAGAGCTGAGTTTGGGATGGTTTGTGTCAGCTATGCCCCATCTGAAGCCCCCTGACTCTGTTGGTACAATCGTTTCCAGAATTCTCTAGGCTGGAAGTTCTAACAGTTGCTGTCCCAACACAACGGAGGCTACCAGACGGGGAAGGCTAGACTGGGCATCGTCCCATCGCCTTCCAGACTCCAGGCCCTCAGGATGATACGGCTCCCTGCATGTAGCCAAAGCAGCCGCATCATCCTAGCTCCTGCAGGTTGAGTTCATAAAGCGGCAATCTGTTATTTCCTATTCTCAAGTTGCTTTGCTTTGGGTTTTTTGGGGAAGGGACTTCCTTACCCAGAGGTTAAGCCAAGAAAGCTCTCGCCCCAAACGAATCCAAATGATGGCAGGATATTGAAAGAAAAAAAGGTGCAAAAAAGTCCTAAAGGCATTTGTGTGCCTGCCTGACTGCTGGATGAATCCGTCCCCCAGGAAGAGAAATCCTGGCCCCTCTTCTTCACCTGGCATATGCCCAGAGGGCTTTAAATCCAGAGCAAGAGAGCGGAGAATCTATTGCCCTCACCATCTGTGAACTGCTCCTCTGGCATGAAATTGGTTTTGCCATCTGCTCTTCACTGTCACTCACTGTCACTGGTTTGAGATGGGCGGCTAGGCAAACAGAGTACACACATCAATAACATGCAAGGGAATGTTATATAAAAATCAGACAGTCTCCCATACTCTCACCCAATGTGACCAAATAGCCATATTTTAAACCCATTATTTTAACCTGTGGACAGTCCAACACAACTTTGAATGCAGGCATCCACGCACAGCCGAACTGTAGCAACCGATCAGTTAAAAAGGAGGGAAATCTCAACATTCTTCCCAGATTTTTTGACTGCTTGGGATCCAGTCACTTTTGCTCTGGGTGATCCCTGCTACCCCAGTGAGGTAGGCACAGAAATAAGCAACCTACTTTGACAGCTCTCTGCTTCTCCAGGGCCAACGTCTTGTTCTGTAGTTGAGCATACAGTTATCCGGATTGGTAGCCTAATCTGCCTCAAAAGATGAGTATTTAACACTCCTGTTCTAGATGGTGTTTCTGGGATAAAATTGGGGTGTCAGACTTGTAGGTGCTCTTGGCTTACAAGTATTTGAATATTGATCTCCTGGTCCATTTCGTTCAACTCGAACTTTCTTCTCTTCTACAACAGTAGGATGACACTATTTTATTATCTGTTCATCAGTATGGGTGCTCTTGATAGTTCAACAGGTCAAGCCTGAGGAACCAGTATTCCTCAAGATGTTGATGAACTACTCCATTATTGTACGCAGTGGCTGAGACACTACAAATCCATCACTCCACACAATAGTTGTCAAAATTGGACAAAGGATAGAAATGTCCTAATTACCAGGAAGGCCTCAAAACTATATACAGCTTTTGCCGACGTGAATGTTTGTTTCTCTAGTGAACGTTTCATATTCCTCAGCTGCCGTTTGGGGCATTGATAAGAGAGCTGGTACTGAAATAAAAAATTCAAATTTATTCTGCCCCATTTTAAGGCTATATTTACTTAGGTTCATAGTTCACTGATCTCTGGTTTGTTTTATATCCTTGTCACTTTCTCCGTAATCAATCTATATAATCGGTAAAACCCAATCCTGAAATGTTTGAATGGCTTTAAATCTGTTTTCTGAATAAAGCACCATAAATCTGATTCAAAAACTGGTAAGACAACTTGATGGTGCCTGAAAAAGAGAATGAATTTGAATTGCCTATATTCAAATGGAAATTTTCTCTTCATTGCCTCTTCTTTTCTGATCTTCCCTGAAAGGCTCTCTCCTTGGAGGAAACACGATGTTTGGGATTAGACCACCTTTTGATCTGAAGTAGCCATGGTGCTACCTAATTGTAGGAGCAACATAGAATTGCAGCTTGAGGACAATCTTTACGTCTACAAGAACAGCGGAGATGAGCTGCTGAAGTATGATGAATCCAGGGTCCGCAGGAATTCCATTCCCCCAGCTAAGATCCCCACTGCAAAGTACATGTTGGCTTATCTTCCACGGCCTCCCTCAGAAACAGATAGCCATGGGGCCTCTTCTCCGAAGGTAGGTGCGCTGAATAATGTTGCTGAGTGCCTCTGTCTAGATGCCATTCCCTTTAGCTGAAGAGTCTTCAAGGTAACTCTGGATCGGGGTCTCCAACCTTGGCCACTTTAAGACTTGTGGATTTCAACTCCCAGAATTCCCCAGCCAGACATGCATGGCTGGCTGGGGAATTCTGGGAGTTGAAGTCCACAAGTCTTAAAGTGGCCAAGGTTGGAAACCTCCGCTCCAGATCTTCATTCCATTTCGATTTTTCATTTTCTTGTCAATGACTGCCGGTATCTCAGGATTGTTCCTCTTAAAGTAACTTGGCTTAGAAGAGAATATGTGTGGTAATAGTACAATTAAGTTATTATATTCCAATTTATATTAATCAGGCAGGTTGGAACTAGATTCAGTTGCATGGGCGACCAGCCACCTCTCTCTGGCTTAGACGTTAACGCAGAGTTTCTCAACCTTGGCAACTTATATGCGTAGACTTCTCCTCTCACACTGGCTGGAGAATTCTGGGAACTGAAGTCCACACACCTTAAAGTTGCCAATGTTGAGAAATATTGCAGGAAAGTTCAGATATTTGACCGATACTTGGTCAGCAAGAGGGAATGGACCATTGTTCTTAAACTTTAAAAAAAAGAGCATTTGTGCTTTAGTCAAAAACTTTCAGGACAGCCCTATCATTAGTTTGGAGGAGGAAATCAAGTCACGGGGGGGGGGGGGCTTTTAAGAGGACTCGACTTACAAGGGTTCATTTAGCGACCGTTCAAAGTTACAACGGCACTGGAAAAAGTAACTTAGGACCATTTTTCACACAAGCAAGGCAGCATCGCCAGGGTCACGTGATTAAAATTCAGATGCTTGGCAACTGGCATGTACTTACGACGGTTCCAGTGTCCCCCGGGATCACGTGATCACATTTTGCGACCTTCTGACAAAGTCAAGGGGGAAGCCAGATTCACTGAACAATTGTGTTAACTAACTTAATGACTGCAGCGATTCACTTAACCGCTGTGGCATGGAAGGCTGTAAAATGGGGCAAAATTCAACAAATGTCTCGGTTAGTGACAGAAAATTTGGGGCACAGCTGTGGTTGTAACTCGAGGAGTACCTGTCCTTTCTCCCCCCTCCAGCCTGAAATGATGACACCTTTAGACATGAGCCAGCAGCCAGCAGCGACCGTGAGCGCCGACAGAAGTGCTCTCTCTTGCAACTATCACCCTGTACCTTGCAGTTCACATGTGCCCAACGTCAGGTCCGTCCTTCTGCAGAAAAGACTCAGCATGGTGGAACAGGCCAGCTTCAGCGCGGCTGGGCCTCCCAAACACCAGCCTCCTTTCTCCAACAGCACAGACAAGTTGCCTAAGTATTGCTGGCCCTCCCGGACCGACCCCCTGCCCCCTTCTCTTTTGCGGGAGTTCAACGCTCAGCTCTGCCCTCAGCACGCTTTTAGCGTGCCCAACATCATCAGCTCTTCCCGGAGCAAGACCCTCACCCGCAGCGTCATCTCGATGCCCACCTCGGAGAAAGCACAGAGCAAACTCTGCAAACTCATTGACGACAACCGGCAGTTTGTGGGGAGAAATAAGCAGCAAAGGCAGCGCTACGTGACCAAAGTTGGGAAGTGCAAGGTCAGCTTAGGCAACATTCAGGAGAAGAAAAGATTCCTCTCTGACATTTTTACCACCATTGTGGATCTCAAGTATCGCTGGTTCCTCTTCATCTTCAGCATGTGTTACATCATCACCTGGGTGGTCTTCGGCATCACGTATTACCTGGATGCCTGGTTACGAGACGACATCAACCACATCGGGGATGTTGAATGGAAGGCTTGCATCGAGAACGTCGATAACTTCATCTCAGCCTTGCTGTTCTCGGTGGAAAGTCAACGCACAATTGGCTATGGCTCCCGCATTGTGACAGCCAACTGTTCTGAGGGAGTCCTCTTGCTGATGGCCCAGTCCATCATTGGCTCCATGATAGATGCCCTCATGGTGGGATGCATGTTTGTCAAGATCTCCAGACCCAAGAAGCGTGCCCAAACTTTAATCTTCAGCAAGAAGTGTGTGATCTCCAGCCGGGATGAGAAGCTTTGTCTCATGTTCCGCATTGGAGACCTTCGAGATAGTCACATGGTGGACGCAAAAATAAGAGCCAAACTCATTAAATCCAGGCAAACCAAGGAAGGAGAGTTCATCCCGCTCGACCAATCAGAACTGAATCTGGGCTATGGCACTGGGGAGGACCGTCTCTTCCTGGTGGAGCCCCAGATAATTTGTCACATCATCAACGAGGTCAGCCCTTTCTGGGAGATGTCTGCAGAGGCGCTGAAGAGGGAGCAGTTTGAAATCATCATAATCCTCGAAGGCATTGTGGAAGCCACAGGTGAGTGTGTCGCACAATGGCCTCCTGTAGGAAAGACTTTATAGATTGTAGTCTCAGGTGTGACGTGTGGTTTGGAAGCCTATCACAGCTATCACATTTCTAAAGTTTCAGAGCTACCTTCATAATACATGTAACCTCAGGGAATCCAGATGTTGAATAACAGAATAGAATAACAGAATAACAGAGTTGGAAGGGACCTTGGAGGTCTTCTAGTCTGACCCCCTGCTCAGGCAGGAAGCCCTATACCATTTCAGGCAAATGGTTGTCCAGTCTTTTCTTATAAACCTCCAGTGATGGAACACATACAACTTCTGGAGGCAAGTCGTTCCACTGATTAATTGTTCTAACTGTCAGGAAGTTTCTCCTTAGTTCCAGGTTGCTTCTCTCCTTGATTATTTTCCATCTGTTGCTTCTTGTCCTGCCTTCAGGACAAGAGAATAGGTTGAACCCCCCTCTTCCTTGGGGCAGCCCCTCCAATATTGGAAGACTGCTATCATATCATCCCTAGCCCCTTTTTTTCCATTAAACTAGACATGCCCAATTCCTGCAACCATTCTTCATATATTTTAGCGTTCTGCCCCCAATCATCTTTGTTGCTCTTGTCTGTACTCTTTCCAGAGTCCATGTTGATTTCAGGTGCAATTCTGGCGCCATTTCTTAATTCCCCATTTTAACCAGTGTTGCACACAATCCATGTGTAATCCAGTCACCACCACATCTCCCCATCTTTTATGCGGATTATATATTGTACTACGCCAAGATTTCTTTACCTAGAAGTAGGTAAAACCCACAACTGCCTGGGTTTTTCTAACATGCTCAGCCCAGACCAAACAAAGCACCTTTTGGGGAGGGGGATTTTCCCTAGCATGGCAGTCTTTAGCCAGGATGAGAGGAAGGAAAATACGCCAAATAAGACTCTAAATATAAGCAGCAACACCTTGAATTGTGTTTGGAAACTCATCAGGAGGTGAGGGGCTGTATCACTCTACTGGATTCATTAAAATTCTTGATCAGAATGTGAGTTATTAGATCACAAAGGGAACCCTATTAATGTCAACAATCTGTCAAGCCCCAAGGAAATCAGAAGATCCAGGCAGTTCGAATGAATATAAAGGTTTATTGCAAGCTCTCTACAAGAATCTGAGCTACTAACAGTCAAAGCAAATTGGCAGTAGATAAGAATCAATGGAATTCAAGGTGGGCTGGACTCAGATCTTTTGCGGGCATAAAGGGATGCCTGACTGATGACGCATTTGACCCCCTCCCTCCCTCCGGCCCAGCCTGGTCATCTCCTACACAATGAATGTTAAATTTGTTCCATACTCCCCCCCCCCTGCTGTATCTTGCCTTTTCACATTCTCTTCTTTTAGGAATGACATGTCAAGCCAGGACATCGTACATCGAGAATGAAATTCTCTGGGGCCATCGCTTTGAGCCCTGCATGACCCTGGAAAAAGGTGCCTTCCACGTAGATTACACCAAATTTGAGAAGACTTTTGAGGTGCAGACGCCGCTGCTGAGCGCACGCGAGATCTACAACATGAAGGAGATGGAGAATCAGGAGCAATCAACGCTGAACTTCTACTGGGATCGTCTGGCCCAGCCTTGCTGTTCAGTAGAGCCCAACCATGAAGCCCAACGAGGGGGCTGTCCCAACGAGGAAAGCTGCTCCAACTTCACGGAGAAGAGGAACAATGAACACCGGAACCATAGTACCAGACTCTAAGCATTTCGAACCAGCTTTTTCAGCTTCTGTGAACCAACAAGGAGGAAAAGAAACAGCTGCACATCGCTTCCTCGTAGTGCGGTTGTGTTGCAATCCAGGGCGGAATCAAATGTAAAGCAGAGCATTGTCTTGTTTGGATACCATTTGGGATCCAGATCAAAAACTCCTGACTAAAGCAGTCATGACTTTGGATTAGTCCTCCAATCACCACCCTTCCCACTCAGAGCTGGAAACATTCCAGAATCTATGTTGCACTCCCAGGGGATTGTCTAGGTATTGTGGTTTCTGCAAGCAGAGATCACACGTGGAACCTGTTGCACTTTAAAAACAAAAAAGGTTGAACTACTTTTGTAGGCATGCCTGTCCTTGTCCAAAGTGGTGGAACTTGTCCACAGTTATTTGAAACGTGTTTGTTTGTTTTGCCACAGGGAAAACCGGGACTTAACTTGTATCGGTTTTCTGCAGGCCACTCGGTCCTTTTTGCTGTGCCCCACACCTTGCAGATATCTGTGCTGCAGCATCCTAAGCCACTGGCCTGGCCACGGCAATGAATGTGTTTCATCTTTTATGGTGCCATAGGAGCTCACGGTGGGTGTTGCCCCCAACCCTTTTCTCCACCGGCCCACCTGGGCCTCTTACCTTTGGGGTTTTTTTGGTTTTTTTTGCCAAACTGATGCCTTTGGTTCCCGAACTCCCCTTCTGTACCTGTTGCAGGGTCCATGTTATTATTGTAAGCAAGTTTTTCTTTTGTCCACAAGGGTGTCTGGAGTGGGGGGGGAAGGACCCTGGAAAGCAATAAAGTTCCTTTTCGCAGAGCACTTGGGAGCCACAGAGCTTGTCCCTTCTGTTACATCTCCCAGTCAATCACTGCCCATCGAGGCGCATCTTACTGGTTTTCTCTGCCTGAAGCGCTCCGTGGCTCCATAGCTCAGGGAGGAGCATCTTGAGGTGGCTGGAGACATAGCCGTGATCAACAATGGGGTACAAGTAGTCCTTGACTTACAACACTTTGTTTAGTGACCGTTCGAAGTTGCAACGGCATTAAAAAAGTGATTTATGACCATTTTCCACACTTAGGACCGTTGCAGCCTCCCCATGGTCACGTGATCAGTATTCAGCCACTTGGCAACTGACTCACATTTATAACGGTCGCAGCATCCTGAGATTATGTCGACATCTTTTGTGACCTTCAAACAAAGTCAATGGAGAAGCACACTTAACCACCGCATAACTAACTTAACAACCTCAGTGATTCACTTAAGAGCTGTGGCAAGGAAGGTCATAAAATGGGGCAAAACTCACTTAACAACAACAGAAATTTTGGGCCCAATTGTGGTCATAAGCCAAGGACTACCTGTATTTGTGGGAAACACACAGACACGTAGAAGCCAACATTTGTGTGATCTCGTTTGGGCAAATGAATCATGCCACGTGACACAAGGAATTCTTTGTTAATCCCCCTGGCTTTATTGATTGCAATCTGGCAAGGTTTTGTTTAGCACTCCCCTTTCACGTTCACCCAGCTGTGCCAAGCGATTGATCAGGAAACGGGAGGGGAGTGGAGAAGAGGGATTCCAAACCAGAGATCGGGTGTGGAGGGAGAGTTTTCCAAGCACGTCCCTCGTCCGTCCCTTCCTTTTTATAATGTGCCACCCCACTTCACCTCAGCGGGGGTCTCACCGCTTGTGGCTCTACTGGCTGGGCTGCATCCTGCTCGGTGCAGAGTTTTTTCCAGCATCTCTTCTGGTTCCAACTGCCTCACATCATATTTCTCAGGTTTCTTTGTTCGTAGCTTTTCTCAGACTTAACCTCAGGCACTACCCAAAAGATACTCCGCTCCAGCAAAGGATCTTATCAGAAACAGGCTGGCTCCTGTTGCAAGATGCATCCCTGAAACTGGAACTGAATTAAGTGCACTAAGAACAACGCTGGGCTATCATTTCTGAAAAGCCTCTTTAAAAAGTGCAGTGAGGAATCTGATTCTTTTCCAGTGGGACTCTTTTTTTTCTTTTTCTTTTGAAGGCTTTTGAGGCTAGGGGGCTGTGCTGGGGATCTCCAGAGCTGCTGGACTACAAAAACCATAATTCCTAATGTTGTTAGAGCTGTAGTTCAACTCAGTCCTGAAGGCTGCTTGAGGAAAGGGCATTTGCATGTACAGATATACACACTCACACACGTCTACACACACTAACACAAACAGAATATATGTACAGATATATTGACGATCTTTCTCTGTTCCCCACTCCACCTCCAGGGGAGCAACAACCCAAGAGCTACCCCCCCGAAGCTCCTCTAGGCTTTCAACTTTGTGGTTCAAAAGCGGAGCCAGCGCCACTATTGGCGGGGGGCAGAAACAGGCCTTCTCTATCCCAGCTCGGCTCCATGGTCACGGAGGGGAAATGGCTGCCGAAGGGCACGCCGGGAACGGTAGTCGGCGTCGCTCGCGTCGCGCCTTCCCGTGAGGCCCCGCGCAGCGCGACGGGCGGCGGGATGGCGGCGCGCGGCTCCTCGCTGGTGGAGGCCGTGCTGGCCTCCTCGGGGCGCCTGGAGAAGGAGGGCCTGGCCGGCCGCCTCGCCCGCCTCTCCCGCCGGGCCGAGGAGCTCAAGGTGCGCGGGGTGGAGGGGGGTGGGGTGGGCTTACCTGGGCCACGCCCCCGGGAGTGTCCCCGCCCCCTTCGGCCCCTGGGCGCCTGCAGAGGGAGGGGAGGGAGCGCCGGGCCCCTGAGCGTGTACAGAGTTGAAGCGGGGGGGGGGCGGCAGACCCGCGAGGCGGAGCGTCGTGTGCATGAGATGGCACGTGGCTTCCCTCCCCCCCCGCCCAGAATTGCCCCCTTTTGCCCCGGGCGGCAGTAGGAGGAGGCGGCGGAGGAGCCGGGCGGGGCTGCAGACATGCGACCCCCCCCGCCTCTAAGGCCCCGGGGTCTCCTTTGGCTCACCTCTGGCGAAAGAGCCCCGATGAAGGAAGGCGAGCCTTGGCAGCTCCGGGCTCCCTGAGCGGACGTTTCGCGGCCCCAAAGTAGGTGACGTCATCAGGGCTAGAAGGGCGTGGGGGGTTTGCGGGAGAAGAAGAGGAGGGCGGGGGGCTCCTGGGGGCTCCCTGAGCGGGGCGCTGTCCTTGCAGACCTTTCATTCCCCACATCAGGCAACCTCATCAGGGCTAGCCGGCTTTTTGCTCTCCGTTCCTATTCTAGTGACTTGCCCTGTCAGGGATGGCTGGGTGGTCTCAGAGGGTCTGTGGTTGGGCTGCTTACCGTTGGCTTGTTTGGCAGTTCCTGGATTGGGATGTTGTTTACTTGATGGTTCTTCTTCTTCTTGTGCCATATCCGTTATCGGACGTTGGCGATCCTTTTTTGCCACCATTAACATGGTTTTCCTGGGAAATATATAGTGTAGTAGTCTTCCCTTTGCTTTCTACACCGCTGTGCACATGGTGTTCAAGTGGCTGCCACCACACTGTGTGCTGTTCTTCTGAATCCGTTCCAACCAATATGGTCTCCGCCTTTAGTCGATACTGGGGAGCCAGCTGCCACTCACCAGGCCTCTTGGTCCACGGGAGGTATTTGATTCCCTCCAACCCGCCATTACAGTATAAAGCCATAATGGGTAGGACCCCCCAATCCGCCACCTGGGGACGTACTCTGTGGGGGATCCAGCTCCCCCTAAGAGACTTGATGGTTGGCCCGATGTTAATCTTGAGTCCTGCTGGTTATTCCCCTCCCCCTGTCTTTCCAGGAGGAGGTTTGCAGCATGATCAACCAAAGGTATGTCGAGTTCCTGCCCAGCGTGCAGAGCGCCAAGGATCTGGAGAGCCAAGTGCAAGAGCTCTCAAACGGCATCGACCAGCTGAGATCCAGGATCGAGAATGAGGTGAGGACCGTGTGGAGGAACTTTAGCCTTGGCTAAAGAAGCCCTGTAGAAGAGGGGGGGGGGGCTGAGCCTGGTCATGCGTTGTATTCATATTTACAGAGAGAGACGTTTTTACCCCAGCTGCTGTGTTTAGTTTTTTTCTGCCTTTTATATTTTTTAAAATATAGATTTGCCAGAGTCATTATTTTGAGATGGGCAGCCATATAAATCAAATGAATGAATAAATAATGAGGTGCTCTTTTCCTCCCTCCTAGCCTTTCTAAGTTGTATGTTAACTGCATTCTAAAATCACGCAGAAATCTCTCCATGCTTACTAACAGTTTTTTGGGGGTTTTTTGTAAACCAAAGAAATTAAATGGGTTTTTAACCTCTGGTGTTTCCACAGGTCCAGCAAGATGTTAACGTGGCCATTGCAGACTTTGCTGATCTGAAACAGCAGCTGGAGAGAGAGCTGCTTGTTCTGAGCGTGCTGAAGCAGCTCCAGGAGGTAAGCCAGAGGGTGAAGCTCTATTTTGGGTTATATTGATTGGAGGCTTGCTCTGAGATACCAGTGTCCCCCTTTTCTGCTTTCTTCAGTTCGACACTGCTCTCAAACAGTTCGCTTCCTTGCTGCCCCTGAAGAAGTACACCTCAGCAACTAACTACCTGAACAAGGTAGTTCTTGGGGATGGAGGCCTGTTCATGTCCTCCCTGGGTTGCTTCCAGGCTCCTTTACAGTGGAATGGCTTGGCTCATGGCAGGCTTTGTGTGACTCTGCAACCTTTTCCTGTTTCCTGTCAGGCCCGGAGAAGCCTGAAAACCATGGAGTCTCGTCGGGGCTTTGAGCTGAAGATTCTGAAGGCGCTCGGCCAGGAGCTCACCATTCAGACCCAAAACATTCTGTATCTTTTGGATCAGGAGTGGCAGCGAATGGTGGTGTGGAAACTTCCCCAGTCACAAGGTGCAGAGGCCATTTGGTTGGCCCTCTTTTGCGTTCCTGCTGAGGGGTTAACCTAGATTGGAGGTCTCCAACCTTTGCCACTTTAAGACTTGTGGACTTCAACTCCCAGAATTCCCCAGCCAGCCTCGGGAGTTGAAGTCCACAAGTCTTAAAGTGGCCAAGGTTGGAGACTCCTGGTCTAGATGATCCCTAAAGTCATTTCCAATTGTGTCACTGAGCAATTCTGATTTGAGACTTGCTGTTTCTGGGGTAGCCTAAAGGCTGTGGGGGAGTGTGTGCTGCAGCTATTTGCTTAGGATGACAAGAGATTGGGGGGCAGAGGCCGGGTTGCCATTTGTTCACCTCTTTTACAGCTTTGTAACCATGGTTTGCTGTAACCTGGATGGTGCACTACCTTTCTTTCTCTAGAACTCAGCTGTCTAGAGGCAGCTACCCAAACAGAGTTGTACCTGTGTCTGCCCAGAGAAGATGTTGCCACAGACCCAGGAGTTTCAACGGTTCTGCAGGCTTTTGCCATTCTGGGAGAACTGGATGTGAAGTTCAAGCATTTTGGTAAGTTCTTTCTCTCCAGCAGCAGCTTCCTGAGCGTCAGAAGTTTCGATTTCTGACTTTGCATTCTTGTCCTGCACAAAGATATTCTAAATTTGGCACCTGAACCATAGCCGCCTCCTCTGGGGTCCTGTTCCTCTCTACGGTCAAGAGAGAGCTTGGTGCTGTCCGGTTAACTGAAGCAGAAACACTTGGTGTTATATGGGCCATCCAGGACAGCTGCATAATTTTTCATGGCCTTATAAAGCAGAGTGGTCCAAAGGAGTATCTCACTTAGGGCAGGAGATTAAGTAAATACCAAAAATGCTTTTGATATTGTCACTCTCTTCTTGGGAGGGCAGTGCTTTAAAATTCCTTTTTGTCTGGTCCAAAAGGAAGCCCCCCCCCTTTGTCTTCCTCCAATCTCCACCTGATGTCCTTGCGGGAAGTGCCCCCTCCCTTCAAGCAGAGTGAGGACAGGGCAAAGAAGGAGGCCACAGGCCGCCTGGGAAGTGCCATCAAACCACTATCCTTCGATCCTTGCTCACTGTCCTTCCTCTCCCTCTTGCCAGGACAGTTACTGCTGAAGCACATCCTCAAGCCTTTGATCTGTTGTCCCTCCTTACGGCTGTTGATGGAAAATCAGCCTGATGGCGTCACACTCAAATTTGAGTCTGTGGGCTCCAGTCTTGGCCACCCATCCCCCTTGGAAGTGTTTGCGAAGCTCAGATCAGTGTTCAAAGTCCTGCACCAACACCTGCTGGGTAAGGATCTCATCCCACACTGGCTTGGAAGAAAGCCTTGAGCCTGGGGCAGTAGGAAACGGACCCCGGGAAGACCACGGGGCCTGTTGCTCCTGTTATCTCACAGGGGGCCCCTGTCGGGTGGGGGTTGCAGAAGGAGCCACAGAGCATTCTCGCCTCTCCAGACACCCCGCTTGCCCCTTGCGAGGAGGAGGAGGAGAGCAGCACCTGGCCCGGTTTGGCCGAGGTGTTGAGCAGCGTGATTTGGAGGAAGCTGTCCGACTGCCTCATTTGCGACTGCTTGGTGCACTCCATCCCCAGCAACAGCAGCCAGCTTGCACAGTACACAGAGGTGGGTGTTGCGACCTCCGATCTCTGGGCTGCTTCTTAAATTAGGCAGGAGGAGGTTTGCACGGGAGATCGAAATGAAAGTTACGCTTTTTAGCACCTGCTTTTCCTAATACAGGCCGTCCTTGACTTACGACAGTTCATTTAGTCACCGCTCAGAGTTGCACTGAAAAGAGGGACTGGTGACCATTTTTCACAGTTAACAGTCTTTGCAGTGTCCCCACAATCCCGTGATCAAACTTCAGACACTTGGCAACTGGTTCATGCTTATGACGGTTGCCGTGTCCCAGGATCCCCTTTTGCGACCATCTGCCAAGCAAAGTCAAGGGGAAGCTGGATTCCCTTAACAACCGTGCGACTCACTTAACAACTGAAGTGATTCACTTAACAACTGAGCCAAGGAAGGTTGTAAAATGGGGCAAAACTCACTTAACAAATGTCTCACTTAACAACAGCAATTTTGGGCTCAATTGTCGTAAGTCGAGGACTACCCGTAGCCTTTTCAAAGAACGAGGCGGCTGAAGAATTCTCGGCAACACGGAAGAGCCTTTGTGGGGCTGGAGAGCTAAATATCGCTGCAGCTGGCCTGTTTCTGAGGGTGGGAGAGTGAATCCACCCATCAGCTGATCTCGGGACTGGCTGACCTGCTTCCTTATGTGCCCCCCCCCCCAATCCCACCCCGCAGGTTATTAAAGCAACAGAAGACTTTGAAGAAGCCTTAAAAGACATGAAGTTCCTCCCGGAGAACTCCGTGGACTTGCTGACCTACGCCCGCAATGTTAACTGCCATTTTGCCAACAAGAAATGCCAGGATGTCATCGTGGCAGCCAGGAACCTGATGACCTCAGAAATACACAACACTGTGAAGGTATCAGAGCAGGGTGGTGGTTCCCTGAAAGCAATTGGACGCACTTTCCTCTTGTCCGTGTCTGGCTTGCCCACCTGTTTCCAGGCTGTATTACCTGGTGGCAGGTAGTTAGTGGAGCAAAATGAGACGGGGAGAGAGAAAAAAGAAGCCCCCTGCAATTCTGCCCTTGGCATTTGCCAACCCTCAATTTGGCCCCAAAGCAGCATCATTCCTTGGGGGGGGTCGGGGTCCATGCTCAGAACGGAACCCGGCGGCACGTGAGCCTCCCGTGTCTTCCCCAGGTCACCCCAGACTCTGTGGTTACACTTCCCACCCTGCCTGCCTCTGGAGCTGGGGACCAGTTAAAGCTGCCCGAAGGGCCCGAGGCGCTTCTCAAGCAGGTGACCAACTTGGAGAACAAGACCAAGCTGAGCCGCCACACCTTCTCTTTCCCCACCTGCCGCATCAGCGACTCTGTCCACAGATTGATGGCTTTGGCCTATCAGACCCTCCAGGAGGCATCGGCCAGCACTGACCAATGGTGAGGGCAGATAGGGTGGAGTGTCCACCTAGCGCTCGCTCCCTGACAGTCTTGATGCTGGGCCTTTGGTGGGGTGCAGGCAGGCTGCCCCGGATTGCCTCGGCAGACTCTTCCTCTCCGGGCTATCCAAAGGGAGCTGAGCCCAGGCTGCTTAGGCAGCTGGCAAACTCCCCTTTTGGGGTCCTGGAAAAGCAGATGTGACCCGGATCCCCTCTCGTCTTCTCCGGCAGCTGCAACCAGCTCTTCTACCTGGTGCGCAACATCTTCCATCTCTTCTGCGACGTGGTGCCCATGTATCATAAGTGAGTGATGGCCGTCCGCGAGGGGGGATCGGCACAGGCCAGGGCTGTGCTAGGCAGAGCTCCGATTTAGCCTGTTGAATTACAGGCGGTCCTCAACTTACGACCGCAACAGTGCCTGGAATTCCATGACAGTCGTAAGTCGAGGCACCCACACGACTGGATCCGATTTTACGACTTTTTTGTATGGCGGTCGTTAAGTGAACGCCATAGTCGTTAAGCAGATCCATTTATTCCTATGGATGTTTTTGCCAGAAACTGGCCCCAAAAATGCCAGAAACTGGCAAAAGAGTGTTGAACGTGGTCGTGTGACTGCGGAGTGCTGCCGCCAGCCATAAAGAGGAGCCCGTTGTGAAAAGCTGGAAATGTCACGTGGCCGCAGGGGGTGTGCGGGCATCAGAACTCTGGAACCGGGTCATAAGTAGCTTTTGGGAGGGTCTGCCGCGACTTCAAACCGTCACAAAGCAACGGGTCGTTAAAAGAGGACTGCCTCAATTGAGTTCTCCTTTTAAATTTGTGGAGATATGAAAACATTAATGACTTTATAACTGCTCAAAAGCGTATTCGATGAATTGCTGTAACCTGGCAAGAAACAGGACCACGTGTATTGCCTCCCTCCCCCCCCCCCGCGTTCTCTGAGCAGCCCCCTCCTCTTCTTCCTCTGCCCACCCAGAGAGAACCTCCAGAAGCTTCCCCAGCTGGCCGCTATTCACCACAACAACTGCATGTACATTGCCCACCACCTGCTGACCATGGGCCACCAGTTCAGGAGCCGGCTGAGTGACGGGACGGCCACTTTCGTCGACTTGGTGCCCGGGTTCAGGAAACTGGGTGAGCCTGAAGGGAATGTGGCTTGTGGGGCATTTAAGTAGCTCCTCTGCCTCCCAGACTAAACAGTCTCCCAGGGTAGCCCTGCATGAAAATGTACTTCAGCAGTGCCAGGCCTGAGTCTGTCACTGCTGGATACACTTCAGATTTTAGGCTGTTCCCCAGAAAGGGGTGGGGGTCCCGGCCCACAAAAGAAGCTTTTCTGGTGGTATTTCGTCCCTCCCTCTCCCCCCCCCCGAAAGCTGGGCCATTGATTTCTTCCCCCCCCCCCCCCCCCCCAGGAACAAGGTGCTTCCTCACCCAGATGCGGGTGCAGAAGGAGGAGCTTCTGGAGAGGCTCTCCCTGTCACGGAATTTCTCCAGCCTGGACGACGAGGACAACTACTCTGCGGCAAACAAAGCTGTCCGTCAGGTCAGGAGTGGGAGTGGGGGGGGGCTTGGTGGAACCTGGAAGATTAGTCCCCCCCCCCTGGATTCCATGAGGTCACTCCCTGAGCCTGAATGTAACAGCCTCTCTCTCCCACCTCATGCAGTCCCTCCCTGCAGCATCCTGCTCCTGCTCCTGGAGGCTCCACGTTGGCCCTTGAAGGCACTGATGCTTGTGGCCAGTTGCCCCCCCCCCCCCGAACGAGGCATTGTGTGCCAAAGTCCTTTCTTTCTGTTAGGCACAAGCAGCCAGGGCCACCAGGTGATAGCCTCAAGCGGAAGCTTCCTTGGTACAGGTAGTCCTCAAGTTACAGCAGGTCACTTAGTGACCGCTCAGAGTTACAGCAGCACTGGAAAAAAGTGACGGCCATTTTTCACACTTACGACCGTTGCAGCCTCACGTGATTTACATTTGGATGCCTCCTGGAGTGACGTGATCCCCTTTTGTGACTGTCTGACAAGCAGAGTCGCCGGGGAAACCAGACTCAACTTAGCAACGTGTTACTAATTTAAGAACTGCAGTGATTCATTTAACAAATGTGGCCAGAAAAGTCGTAAAATGGGGCAAAAGTCACTTAACAAATGTCTCACCTAGCAACATAACTTTTGGGGTCAATTCTGGTTGTAAGTTGGGGACTACCTCTACTCACTAACGTTAGAAGGACCTTACCAGACTGACCGACCGCATTCCTTTGGGAATGGTCAGATAAGGCTCCAGGAATTCTTGGGGGGGGGAGTCAGGCCTCTCTGCTGCTTTCTGCAGTGCAAGGATTCCCGAGTCCCCCCACCCCCCCGCTTAGCACCTCTTTCCAGTCCAGCTGGAGAGTTTCCTTCCTCCTGAACCCGCTGCCAGTTCATTTTCCAACAGATGTCCTTCCATCCTTGTGTGACGAGAGAGGAGGAGGAGGGGGCTCTGCCTTCCTTGCTGTTCCACTCTGGATTTGTTCGCACCCCCAGCCCTGCCCGCAAAGTGGCCGTATTGCTCACGGGTTCTCTCCCCGTCTGCCGCTCCTGGCAGAGGCTGAAAGGGCCGTTTCCCTCTTCCAGGTTCTGCACCAACTGAAGAGACTGGGCAAAATCTGGCAGGATGTTCTACCGGTGAGCGTCTACTGCCGGGCAATGGGGACCCTGCTGAACACGGCCCTTGTGGAAATCATGAGCAGGATCGTTGCTCTGGAGGTGAGGACGGAGCCCCCCATGGGGGGAGGGAATTCTCGATGTTTCTGGAGATCCAGCTCTGCTTCTTGGTGAGGTGACTCACCAGATCTAAAAGTTGGCCATCTAGAGCCCCTGATGGTCTCCCTCCACTGATGGCATCTCGGATTATTCCTTCTGGATTCATGGAGAGAGCTGGGCTGCATTAAAAAGGATGGTTTTATCACAGCAATGTGCGTTTGGCAAATAAAGGGCTTGGTTTTAATTAAGCCGGTGGATGTGCCTGGTTTTTTTTTTGTTTTTTTGAAGAAGTGGAAGCAATAGTGAGTTAAACCTTGCCTAGACCACCCCTGCATTGGAGGGCGGCCATGTGCATTTCCCAGCATGGTTAAAAAGAGCACACTTGGGACAGGCGCATAAGAGAAGCACCTCTGGAGTTGCTTCTCTCATTGGATTGGATGGTGGGCCAAAAGGCTTTGCAGTCAGGTGCGCTGGACCTCATTTCCCATAATCCCCAACCAGTTCCAGATTGTGGAGAGCTACTGTAGAAGCCAAGACCTTTGGTTTTTGGTAAAAAATGATTGCTAGTGAACCCCTTCAAAAATAAAGTCATAAAATCAATTTGGTCACACGATGACTTGCTTTACAACCATCATAAAGTGTGGCCAGGACTGGCAAGCTCTATTATTGTAAGTTGAGGACTACCTGTTTTGTAGGAATTGGGACCTTGACAAGACTAAATTCCTGTGCATTTGAAAACCGTTCCTGCTTCAGCCTCTCTGCTCACTTGATCCTATGGGAACGTGGCTCTCGGTGACAGGGCGGAAGGGAGGCCCACCCTGGAAGGCCTGGGGCCAGCCTTTCTGCCTCCCTTGTTCATCTCCCCTCCCTTGCAGGACATCTCTGCTGAGAATGCCGACCGGTTGCACGCCCTGTGCAGGACCGTGGTGGACGAGGGCCCCCGGGTCTTTGTGCCCCTGCCGGAGGAAAAGGAGAACCGGCACTTCCAGGAGGAGGTGCCAGTTTACGTGCCCAAGTGGATGATGTTCCAGGAGCTCATGTTGGTCTTACAGGCCAGTCTGCAAGAAATCGTGGACCGGTGAGAGTCTCCCCTGTTCCTCCATCCAGTTGCAGCTGGGGTGGGGGGTGGGGGGGGTGGGGGAGCGGAACCCAGAGGAGGCAGAGATGGTGGGGCTTCTCCCTCTCTGCTGGGCCCCCTCCCAGTCAGAAAGTTTAATCTAGGCCAGGAGTGGGCAGCTAGGGCACCTTTACCACCCGTGAACTTCAACTGCCAGAATTCCTGAACCAGCGTGGCTGGCTCAGGAATTCTGGGATTTGGAGTCTACAGGTGGCAACGTTGCCGTAGCTGCTGACACCTGATCTAGGCAAACCAATTGGACTGCTAAAGTGGTGACCGTTATGTGCTGCTGTGGTAGATTTGATTCTTCTGAGTTCTCGATTTTGCAGAAGAGATTGTTGCCTTCTCTGTTTGAGAAGGGAAGAAGAAATTGGGCAAGGATCCGTGGTGTGAGCAGGGGAAGCCCTACCAAGGCTTAAGCCTCCTAATCCACCAGACTGTAGGAAGGGGTCTGGAAAAACTGACTGCCTTGCCCAGCCCCGAGCCCTCCTCTCCCCCCCCTTTCCCTCCTCCCACCTTCTGGAATCACAGTTGTCCCCCTTGCTTTCTTCTCTGAAGGTGGGCAGGCAGCAAAGGGCCCCTTGCCACCGAGTTCTCCCCCAGCGAGGTGAAGAACCTCATCCGAGCCTTGTTCCAGAACACAGAGCGGAGGGCAGCTGCCTTGGCCAGCATCAAGTAGCTGGCGGCCTCTGAAAAATCGTCCTGGGCTGAGGCTGCTTCCTGCCTGATCTCCCCTTCCTCCTCGTGGAGCTCTGGCTGGGGCTGATGTGCTCCGTGGTCAAAGAGCTCAGTCGGAAGCCCATCAAGTCACCCGAGTGGCAGCTCCGGACCTCAGAAAATGACTTTCCCGGCAGAACACGTGATCAGCTGACTGGATCTTCTACCCAAAGAAGACCCCAACTGGTCCAGATCTTGGACATGTTTGGCCAAGCCCAGCTGGCACACTGAAGCTCTGGGCAGGATGTGAGGAAACAGCATCTATGCAGCTTCTTCCCAAGGGAGCCCACCTCTTGCGCACCTTAACCGCTTCTCTTTTGCAAGTGGCTTCTAAAGCACACCTGACTTGGGGGGGGGGGCGGGGGGACCTCCCAGTAGCCTTTCAAGGCTCTTAAAGTGCCAAAGCCTTCTTGACTTTACCAGCCTCTCCCTTTACTCTGGCGTTGGGAGGAGGAGGAGGAGGAGGAGGAAGGGCGGAGACTAGTGAGTGGATTTAAAAGAAGGGAAAATGGGATGAGGTGGCTGGTCCTGCCCCCCCCCCCTTCCCCCCCCCCCCGTTGGATGCCCCACTTTCTGTTCCGCAAGCACTCCTGACCCATGTGTCATGGGAGAAGCCTCTGGGCTTTCAGGAATTCTGCTCCCATGGAAGTCGGTCTTCAGGGAACCAGTGTCTGGCATGGGGACTGCAGCAGGCTGGTTGGTCAAGCAGCTGGGGCTCCGTTATGTCCCCTTTCTTGATGCCCAGCACCTGCCCAGATGCCCCTTGCTGTGTTTTCCTCAATGCCAGGTCTCTCTCTGGTCAAATCCCTGCATATTGGCCATTTGTAAACATTCTTCATCTTATTGGCAAGCATCTTTTTTTCTATCTCTTCATGTGTAGAATCTGAGAGCATCTCCGTAATAAAATCCTCAAGTCCAGGATTTGAAGGGGCAGGTTGTGCTTTTGGTGCGATATCCCTCTTCTGGTTCGAGTTTCTTTAGCATTTAAAGTTAAATCTCTACCTGCACAAGGTAAAAGCTGGTCCCTGCCCTCTTGTTGAAAGACTAAAAGAAGTGCTCAATTAGGGGTGGGGTAAATGTTTGAATTATTTTTTGGGGGGAAATTTTGGATATGTTTTCAGTCATCTAACCTGTATTTCCTCTTGCGTTACCTTCAGAAGGCAGAATTAAATTTACATCCTCTCGTTGAGATTTCTTTCATGACCAAACACATACAACTTCAATAAAACCCAAATTCTCAGGAGAGTCTGCCATTTTTGTTCCCAAGCCCCAGAAGTTTGAGTTAAAGAAATTGAGACGGTCTGCTTCTCCTACGCTAGCCGCAGGACTGGCTGCCCAAGGCGAGGGAGCTGCATGGGCGGTTCATAGAAACCCAATAAGTGGGTTAATTTGTCCCTCATTTTCCAGCCCAGTTGCCTCTCGATAAATCTCAGGAGCTGTTTAACTTTAGGATTTTAGCTTAACTGCTTTTGATCACCAATCTGCATCTTTCACTTACCAAGAGTGTCCAGCCTTGTCAACTTGGACCTGTGGATGTCAACTCCCGGCTGACTGGGGAATTCTGGGAGTCCACAGAGCCAGGCTGGCTGGGGAATTCTGGAAGTTGAAGTCCACCGGTCTTAAAAGTTGGATACTGCTGACACCCTTTGTGCTCAGACTTCCTTCCGCCTGGCTGTTTCTCAGGCAGGCATCTTACGGGAGGATTCCCAAAGAAAAGCATTTCTTCGCCCCAGCTTTCAGCCCCCTTCGCCTCCTCTCACCCCGCCTCCTTTCAGATTATGAAAGGTCTTGATCTTGCTAATCTCTTCCTCCTCCCTTAATTATCCTGAAACCCAGAGAAAATCCAGCTCTCTCACGCAACCCTCTTTTTTATTTCCTCAAACGCTCCGGTCCACGTTTATTCCTTCTGCCTCAGCTGCCCTGGGCATGTGTGGTGCCAATTAATCACCCTCCGTGGTGTGTGAATCTGTGCAGCACTTGTTACACGCAGGCATGGCTTCAGAGAGCCCTCGGTCTTGCCAGGGACTCTGGATATCCTTGCAACTCCACAGCCACTTAAACTCAACCCAACAAACGTCTCGAAGGAGCAGGAGTGGGGAGGGGGGCTTGTCTTTTGCAGGGTGGCCCCGATCTTGGGCTCAGCTGGGTCACTACATATCTGCAAGATGAAATGGGACATTGCAACACCCTCGAGGATCAGACCGGAAGGCAGCCTCCTTCAGCACCTTTTCCCCCTTGCAGTCGTTAATTGGGGACGTTGAGGCAGTCCCTGGGCATGGGTCTGGGGTCCCAGGGTTAATTGGCTGCCCCAGGCAGAGCCTGGGGGGGGTGTATGGCTGCTTCTTAGCTTCAGGCATTTTAAAGGTACCCAGGGCTATTGGAGAATTGTGGCTGGTCCAAAATACACAGTGTTGGACTTGTGAGAGTACGCTTGCTTTGCAATTTGTCTTTTTCTATGTGTTCTGAATACACAGGCAGTTTTTAAAAGTTTGATTTCTGACTCCTCTCAGCAGATGGCAGCAGACGGCCAACTTTAGCTGATATCTTGGTAATCTTGGCCAGGCAATGAATAATAAAGCTGTGGGCTAGTAAACAACACATTTTGAAATAAAGCAATGACAACCCCCCTCCCACAACCCCACTTCAGTAAAGTTGTTTTGAGTCACCAAGAATCAAACTTGCATCAAAATCATCATTAATGTGATGAAAATAGCCGTATCGGGGCCTTTGTTCTAGGGTTGTTAAATGATTTCTTTCAGGAGCTTTGGCAATTTTGAATTAGTGTTACTCCATCAGTGAAGTCCGGCCTTTAAGAACTGGAAAGGCAGTTCTGGGCTTTGGCATCTAGTCTTGGCATAGCTGGAAGTTCAGTTTGGAGAGAGGGCCGAGGGTACCTAGGAATGTTAATTTGGACCTGGAGTTCAGTCTAAGCTAACAGATTGATGGGATTTTTCCTCTTTTGGCGCTCACTGGTGATTGTGTATTTCTAAAACCAAGATGGGGTGGGGGAGATGAGAAGATTTTTTCAACAGATCCTTTAGGATGATTAAGGCTTTAAGGTAGGATGTCACCAACCTTGCCAACTTTTAAGACCTGTGGACTTCAACTCCCAGAATTCCCCAGCCAGCCATGCATGGCTGGTTGGGGAATTCTGGGAGTTGAAGTCCACAAATCTTAAAGTTTGCCAAGGTTAGACACTCCTGTCCCAAAAGTGCTTTTTCAAAAGACAGCTGGACTTGGTTTTTCCTTGAAGATGTTTCTCCAAGAAGCTTCTTCAGTTTTGACAGAATTGAAGAAGCTTCTTGGATGAGAAGTGAAATGTTTTTAAGGAAACACAAAGTCCAGTTGCCTCTTGAAAAAAGCACCTTTGGGACAACCGTGACCTGGAGGACTGAGAATCTCCATAGACATTGGATACTCCTGCTTTAAACTCCCATCTCTTCCTTCCAGTTCAGTGCTATTACAGCCAACCCCTTCCCACCCCCACCAACCCCTTTCCACCCCTTCTTGTTTCAGATTAGGACTACAGATTGCTGGCTTGTACTTGCTGTCCTCCTGCCGAAAAGGGATGTGTTTGCAACATCTGTAAAAGCAATTTTGAAAGCTGTTATCCCTTGATGAGACTTCAACACCAGTTTTGCTCTCTGCTAGTTTAGTTGAGGCTGTTTCAGGCACAACAGAAATTGAATCTGTGAAATAACACATTGGCCATGGATGGTTGGGGAGTCGTCCAACATGGCTGGACAAGCCCAATTAGGGGAAGTGTATCTCATCATTTTTAAAAGCAGGAGAGGGGGATGGAGCAGCACAGCTAAACCAGGGGGCTGAATTAATGAATAGGGACAATGGATCTCTCCATTGGGAGAGTCTGTGATTTTGGGATCCTTGTCTGGAATCCATGTCCCAATATCTATGATAGCTGTGTTCCTGTATCTCGGGCTGCCAAAAAGAAGAGGGTCTTGACATTCTCCAAAGCACCTGAAGGCAGGACAAAAAGTAACAGATGGAAATTTATGGAGGAGAGGTCCAATCAGAACTAAGGACAAACTTTCTGACAGAACAATTAACGGCTTGCCTCCAGGGATTGTGGGTGCTCCATCACTGAAGGCTTTCAAGAAGAGACTGGACAGCCACCTGTCTGGAATGGTGTAGGGTCTCCTGCTTGAGCAGGGGGTTGGACTAGAGGGCCTCCAAGGCCCCTTCCAACTCTGTTATTCTCTTATTCTGCCTTGGGATTCCATACTGTACAAGGCACGTATAAAAAGAGAAGGCCAAAGAACACAAGGCAGACCCAGAAGAAGATGGAGAGACAACATCAAAGACACACTACAACATCACTTAACAATGGTTGAGGCTACCAGAAGAGCAAGGACGGAACGTTGCCTCTCCAGAGTTTTTAACCTGCAGTTTTCTTAAGGCTTCTGGGCTGCATCAGCCATTGCAAGGGAGGCTGGAGCTGCATCCTCCTTAAATAGTGCCCATTGCTCTCTTCCTATGCATAGGCACCAACTTACTCCTGCCCAACCCAAGGATGAATTTGGGCATGTTTCACTTGAGTCAAACCATTGATTTCTCCTGCCCAGCCGGCTACCCATTCTCTACTCTTGCTGGAGTGCCTGCAAAAGGAGGAAGAGGTGTGGTTGCTTAGCAACCTTTGCCCACCCCTGTCCACCCCCCTCCCCCCAATGCAGCTCAGAGCAAATTTCTTGAGGTTTCTTGGCCCAGCTGACCTTTGCAGTTGAGAAACTCTTGAGGAAGTAAAGCTGCCAGGCGTGTTCTCCCTCTCCTTGATGAGTCCACTCTGATAGGAATGATGGGGAATTCTGTCCTCTTCACATTCTTCTTCTTCTGAAAGGTCACACCAAATGTCATCAGGCCCCCCCAGCCCTGGCCAAGACACCCATTTCCTTTCTCCAACCATTGGCTGAAAGGAGGAGAACCTATTGAAAGGAAGAGCATGTTCCTGCTTGGTCTCTGACGGTCCCAACCGCTCATTCAACTCTGAAGGCAGAAAGAAATCACTGCCTGGTTTCTGGATCAGATCTTCCCAAGGAGCAGAGTCATAAATGGCCTTGATTGCTCCCCTGGGGCC